AATGCCGCTAGTCGCGGGCTACCATACTACGAGAAGCTTCGCCGTGAACTGAGGGACACACTACAAAAAAAGCGATTAATGGATAAGAGCATGGTGAGTGTAGTTTCGCGCGTTCTCATCCTCTAGGGACCGGAGTTGGTTACCTCTCTGCAATTTTGTTCTTTCGCTGCGCGGGAATGCTTGCGACTCTCGCATTGCCTCGAAATATACCCCCGATGGATGTGTTAATTGTTCAACTGTGATGTGCTGCTAACATATCTTTCGCCCAGTCTCAACTTGAAGACCAAATCTTTCGCTTCGAACAATCATACCTAGAAGAAACCACCGCTGGAAACATCATCAAGGGCTTCGATAACTATATCAAAGGCTCCGCAAACGGGTCGAGTCTCGGCGCCGCGGGACTGGGTCTGGGCGGCAGTATGGCCGGGTCAAGGCGAAAGGCGCAAGTGACGGAATCGGATCGAGTTTTCTCGCGGAGCTCGGCGAGCTACATGCTGGTATGTTGAACCGAGCCGGAATGTGTACTATTCGCCCGAGAGTAGGTGCTTTTTAATTTGAAGTGGGGACTAACGATCATCGTTGTGTCTGTAGGATTCACCCGGTCCCTCCTCTGTACAGACAACGCCTTCCCACGCAGCAACGCCAACGTCCACGACTGGTGGAAATGGAATGTCCATGAAGATTGACCCGCTGTCAGCCTCTATTTCTGCCAGCGGGATGAAGGGCTCGAGTGGCTCATCAAAGAACAAGAAGAAGGCCACCGGTGGGTCGAAGAATACGAAGGGCAAGAACCAGACCGAGGATATTTCTGACGAGGACAAGCCTTCTGTTAAACGGTTAAAGATCAGCTACGGGAGAGACTGAGGAGACTCGGCCTTTTTTATGTTCTGGGCCCGTCTTTCATCTGCTGGGCTCTTCCTAGATTTCGGAGTTGGTTGGTTTGTCTTTTCACATGACTCCTGGGAGGAGTCGTGTTATGGGCGTAGCGGGAAAATGGGAATGGGATTTATCTGTTTTATCACCTACGATGCGATATCATGTAAATCACGAACTTATACAGACTACAGCGTTTGTCGAATACATCTTTTGTTTCATTGCTTCCGGTTGAATGGCAACACAAGATAGGTACATACGATGGGTGCCTTGTGATACTCCTGGGCTTGGTTCAAACCTGCCACTCAAACACATCCCTTACAATCAAAGCTGCAGTCGATATGTAGCGACCTCAAACGCCCTCAACTCAATCTTGATCGTCGAACGACCACCTTCAGTCTCAATGTCCAGCCCGGAATCCCCATCATCCTCAAGAATATTGCACTTGAAAACATGCTTCACCGGTAGTGTGGTCTCAATGGTACCACGAGCCTTACCACCAAGCGATTCATAGACCCGCAGAATAACACTCTTCCCGGGACGGGTAGGAGTACCATCCCAAGAAACATCCACATCATCCTCACCCCGCTTGACGACATCTAGAACCAAGGATTCCGCGCCCTTGATAAACAGAGATCTAAACAGGGCATTGGAAGCAGATGCTTTCCGGTCGGCCTTCTCAACAACAAGTGGATTATTGAAATTGAAGCCCGCGCGGATGGTGCGGGCATCGAGAGCACCAACGTGGGGAAGAATTGCATAGCGAATGTGGTGGCGGCCCATATCAGCATGGGCATCTGGTGCCTTGGGCGCACGGAGCAGCGAAAGGCGCATCAGGTTACCACATGTTGCGAAGCCGTATTTAGAGTCGTTGAGGATGGAGACTCCGTAGCCGTTTTCGGAGAGGTCAGCCCATTTGTGACAGCAAACCTCGAATTTGGCCATGTCCCAACTGCAGAGTAATGAGTATCGCCACGAAGTACCTGGAAGGCCGTTACATACCTTGTGTTATAATGGGTCGGACGCCTAACTATACCGTACTGGGTCTCGTACGATGCTTCAGTGTTGGTTATATCAACTGGGAACTCGACCTTGAGGAATTTCATCGTCTCTTGCCATTCCACCTCACTTTCCATTTCCACGTATGAGGGTTCATCGGATGTAGATGCCGACAGACTGAGTGTAGTCTTGATCCAGCTCTTGTCGCTGATCTGTGTCTCAGTCATGACACTCACCCGGTGTGGGTCATTTTCCACAATGGTCGTCTTACCCACGGGCAACTCCTTCCGTGACTCAAGGTGGAACACCTCTACATCCCATGCTTGCCAATAGAGAGGCTTGTCGTCGAAGATGACTAACTGGCCAGCCTTGCGATCCTTTGCGATGATCTCTCTATCGGCTTGCACATCGTACAAGGATGTGATAACTCCGCCCTGAACATCAACCCTGAGTTTACCATTCTCTAGGCGGAAGACACCAGATTTGACCTCGGCCACGGTCACCGAAGTGGTGGTGTTGAAGTTAGCCGGCTGGAATTGCATCACCCCAGTTGTACCCTCAGCCACAGCATATCTGGATCTATTGTATGCGGACACTGCTGGAGGAACCGCAACGACCTCTGATCGGGGCCATGGCAAAGTGTTGATGGCCATGAAGTCTCCACTCGTGGCATCACTAGAGAGCCCCAAAGCCTCGAGGGCATCCTTTCGCAGCTTGGCTCCTATCTCAAAGATTTCGGCGTACAACTTGTCCGAGTCATCATAGCACATCTCGATGGAACTACCCGGCAAGCAATCATGGAATTGGCAAAGGAGGGTTCCTTCCCACATCTCGTCAATTTCCTTCTTGGGATACCGATATCCATCATTGGAAGCACTGATGGTGGCAAATGTAGCAAGAAGCTCGATCTCACGTAACAAAAATTCGGACTTGCGGTTATTGCGCTTGTTGTTTGCTTGAGTGGTGTATGTACCACGGTGCAACTCAAAGTAAAGCTCGCCGTACCAGGTAGCAAAATCAGTGCCAGAGGCAGCCTTTGCTTCCAACTTTGCAAAGAAGTCATCTACCGACTCGCCCAATTTCACACGGGGCAATGAGCCGACCTGATCACTGAGGCCACGGCAGCGACGCAGCTTTTCGAGGTGCCCAAAAGTCGGGCCACCACCTCCGTCGCCTTTTCCGAACACAAGCAACGATGACTTGTCTGAGTCTAGCGACTTGTGTTGAGTGATGCTGCGCTTAACATCGCCGAAGTGCGCTTCAGCCGTGTAGGTCTCGGAAGGAGCCATGTGGCACATAACTTGGCTGCCATCAAGAGCAACCCACTGGAATGTGGTGTGAGGGAAGTTATTGATATTGTTCCAGCTGAGCTTTTGGGTAAAGAAGCGGTTCATCCCAGCCAAGCGGCATATCTGAGGGATCTGAGTAGAATACCCGAAGGTATCTGGCAACCAGAAAGTTGTGCTTCGTTTACCGAAATTAGCCTCGAAGAATCGCTGTCCATACAAGAACTGTCTAACTAGCGATTCACCACTTGGCATATTCGTATCGTGCTCTACCCAGCTCCCGCCGATAGGCTGGAAGTTGCCTTTCTTTACCCAGCGTTTCACGCGATCAAAGACCGATGGGTAGTACTGCTTAAGCCACTTGAACTGCTGAGCCTGGGAACAAGCAAAACGGTGCTCGGGATACCGTTCCATCAGGTCGCACTGATTAGACCATGACCGTGCTACCTTTCTCTTCGTCTCAGCCCAAGGCCACAGCCAGCAAGTATCGATGTGACAATGGCCAATGGCATAGACTATTGGCTGGGTGTCGGTTTCGTAAACCTCGGACGAATCTACTTTGTCGCCGAGGTATTTCCTAGCAATCTTCCGCGCCTCATGGATGGATTCATTACTTCCATTGCCGGCAATGAAAGCATCCATCATAGAATTGGCCACAACATTGGCCTCATGCGACTCCCATGACTCATCTGGGAATTCCCGGGCAGCATCCCCAATGATCCAGAAATCATAGTAAAGTGCCCGGGCGGCTAGGTTTACCGCGGTGATCCGTGCCGTGCTGAGTGTGAAGTATTTATCGGGACTCGGTGGCTGGATCGAATCGCCACCAGGAGCATTGCCAAACATGCCATTGCAGGCCATTTCAATATAGAAGGTATGCTTATTTCCATCACACCAGTCTTTGGGGAGAACAAACTCTGTCCGTTCTCCGCCCCCAGTCAAGCCCTGTAGCGGATGACCGTCCTCTGTCCAGATTAGACCTTCGTTGTTGGCATCCCAATGAAACTCGAGATGCTCCCGATGGAGCATGTCCTTGGGCACTGTGAGGTGAATCCGGAACCAATGTGTGGACCAACTGGGACCAAAAGAGGCGCCTATGTGGGTTGGCTTGAATTCCTGAGAGGTTGCGTCTTCGAAGGTCGGTCGCTGGAGGTCTGGAACCGAGTAAACAGAGAGCTCGACATGATCTTCGTCCGAGTTCGTGGCTTCGTAGTACTTGGAGACGAGGTTTTGGCCTTCATACTGGCCCTTCGATGTGAACTGGTTTAGGCGATCGGTATAGATCTTCCTGATACGTTGGCCGACCGGGCGTTCAGCTAACTGGGGTAAAGCTGGAGGAGCGGGGCGAAAGGGAACTTCCCCACCCATGATGGCAGACTTAGATAACTGGAGAAATGGAAGAAATGCTATAATTGAGCTAAGTAATATCACAAAGAATTAAGAGAACGAGGGTATTTATTGTATTGATTAGTGTCCAAGAGATGAACGAGGAGAGAAGGAGAGGAGGAGGGAGGGGACTTAAAATGCGGAGTAAGTGTGTGGATAGTGCACCTTCAACTATGTACCTGGATACATTCCAATATACACATACTTAACATATTTCACTCCCTTTAACTCCAATTTTCATCTCTAAGATATTAACAGACATCTCATATAAGCAGCCGCATCAAGTACCCCAATCCCTCGAGCGTAAACCGGTCCGCACGGCTTTAGGCCCAGTTCTCGCTTCAAACTCCAGATCACAGCTAATCCCCGACCCCAACTTTAGCATATAACACGACGAAATATCAAGCGTGACAGTAAACGACCCCTTAGTACCGTCAGCCGACCAGCTGAGAAATGTTAAGGGCACAGTTTGTTATTGGATACATCATTGTTCGCCTGATTTAGCTGGGACCGAAGCTTGGCAGCGAAGCCCAAAGGATCTTCGAATAGTTTCTGGATAGTATGTCGGTGTTGTATTTCAGAGACCGCAAGAAGGACAGCCCTGGGGAATAAACGCTGTCTCATGTCGACTGGCGTGTAAGCATCAATCCAGATCCCCCAGACGAGAATCCCAGCGCGGGCGATGGGTTGCCAGATAAAAGCGCTGACAGCAGCGTCCATAGAGATGAAGTCAGAGGGGGCGGGTGGCAATGTATTCATGGCGACAGCTTTGAGGGAGCTAATCTGTATAGAAAGTTCGCCCATGTAGACTTTGGGAGTACAGCATGTTCCGAGACAGCATGTTTGACACTTAGTGAGGGTTTCACAATCTGGCAAGCTCAGGGCCCGGGGTGTACGAATTATCCAGTAGTGGAATGAGATGACTCCGATTCATGTTACCACTGAAAGTTCTTCGCTTGTGAAAGCTCATTATGGCAAGTCTTGGCCAGTCATATCCATGACAATGCTGAGAGACAGGTGTGTGCATCAAACCGCCCTCAATAAAATTCGCCTGAACATAGAAGACCAATGCTGACTCGACCGTCGTACTTGGCAAATTACCTGGGAGGCTTAGAGTCGTGCAAGGGGTAATGGTGTTCTCGTCCAGCATGGTAAAATGATGCTTGGCCTGGCGAAGCCCGTCCTTTATTAGTGCAGAGGGATCATGTTGTAGATCATTCACCACGCTGGATTTTCTCGAGGGGATTTTGAAGACGTCCGTGTTACCATCCCTGCGCCCTCGTTAATAACCTGACCAGTAAGCCATGGGAAGCTGTGTGTGAATTGGTTCCGTTTGTTAAAGTATTGATGAATGGCACCATGAGAATATGTCTGTGGTAAATGGACATGAATCATCCAGAGATGAATTTGAACGAGAAATTATATATCGAAGTGGATGACCGATATAAATAAATGACCAACATGATCTAATTGGGTATATAAGCATGCGACCTTCAAGCAAGATATCTACTGCTGTAGATATATCTTCCTACGGATAATCCCAACCTTCTAGCGGTTGAATTCAGGCTCCATCATGTAAACATGCACTCAGATCATTGCTATGGGAAGATGACGCTCGAGAAGAATCAGGCCCTTCGTAAAAGGCCTCATAGTCGATCGTTCGCATGGCATTTTCGTGCAGGTCCTTTTGGACATCCACCCGCTCTGGGTCGATTGAGTCACTTCGAATTCGGGAACGGGGCGCCGACCCTGATCCTGATCTCTGCTCAATGGCATTGTCAGACTTGGATGCTGACCGATCCCCCGTGTTGGTGTGACCAGAGACGGATTGCTCAAAAAAGTCAGAGACTACGCCGGCCATCATACCGGTGTGAAGCTCGGCCAGGACACGCTTGAGGGTTGGGATGCAGGTGCAAAGAACTGAGGAACTGATAATTAATTGTAGCCAGATAGCTGGCATGAAGGCATTCCACGTTTCATCTGGGTGTTTGGAGCCATAGAGTAGTCGGAGAGAGCGTAGGCCAGCAATTGTGAGGGCTAGAACTCTTCGTGGGATTAGATAGAGATATTATTGAAATTTGAAGATCTACTCACAGAATCCGCATCCCAAATAGGGCAGAGATTTGGTGGCGCTTCCACTGTAGTATCTGGACCTGATGTAGTAAAGTTACTGGTAGCCCAATGATTACTACATCTAAGAACATGTGAGTACTCCCCAACGCGATATATAAAGCCTCTCGGTTCACGCATCGCTCGGGGCTGGAGTTCCACGGTTGTGGCTGATCGCACTGTTTTCCGAGTACTATGAGTGCAGCCAGTATCCAGGTACAGATCATGCCTAAAACAACCTTGCATGCAAGCGTTATTCTCTCAAAAGGTTTCAAGGACATGACCAGAAGTGCAACGGCGGCCTTGGAACATCCTATGACGAGAACGGCGAGAAGTTGGCTAGCAAAGAGTGTCTCGATTATGTTAGAATATAGTCTTTCAGCGGAAGGTGTTTAACCTTCTTACCTTGCTGTATTTTTCAAATGAGGCATTGCTCAATGCAGATCGGTGCTTGCCAATGCCATGGGAGCTGGCTACATTCACACACACAGTCTGAGGAATAAATATAATCTAGTGGGTTGATTAGAAAAGGGAACCATTGAAGGCAAAGCTACTTACACAACTGAGAAATAAAGTTGAATCGCTCCAGGAAATTCTACGCAAAATGCGGATACGAGATATTATTGTCACTGTTGTCGCAAGTACAGTGATGATAAGTAGAATAGTGCTCACAGTGATAACCCAAGCACTATGGTCATTATCAGTAACAGGCAAGAGTGGTGACAGGAGAGCCGTTATGTTAGACGACATGTTGAATGATTCTCGTTGGATATAATTGAAGGTTATATTTATATTATTAATAGAAGAGACATTATATGATATATACCATTGTTAGAGAACCCTTATATGGGTTTCCTTATTGGGTCTCCCATGCCACCGAAGGCACACAAGCACAACTATTCTTGTCTTGCCAGTGAACAGTCTATCTCAAGTTCCACAGCCGTACGTACATTTTCCGGTCCCATCTCCAAAGTTGGCCGAATACTGGTACTGCAGCATATGCTGGTCCCATCCAGGCAAGACAAGGAATATCTACCGTAAGACAAGAATTCTGCAAAATCCTTGTCTTTGAAATTCATGGCTTCCACACTAGTTTTGCTTTTTATTTCTCTGATCTTCCTTCGGGACTTGTCTGATGTTTCGTTTCCTATCATCAATTGTCTGTCCTCCCTATCGAGAACAAATGGAGCGCCTTGAGATGGACTCTTTGGAAAGGGAAAATATGGGCTTTGGAAAAGTCACGCTAACTCAAGATGCAAATGTCTCCAATGCCTATGACTGCCAGTGTAAAACAGGACCTACGGAGCAGGCGTCGCCTAAGGTATGATTTGCTACGTCGATAAACTTAACCTAGCTGAGACGGTATACAGCGACTTTTCAATTTCACCCAGATATTCTTTTTCTCACTAACTTACTTGTCAAGCTGGGAGACTCAGGCTTTGTATGAGAGCCTTATCTGTTGTTGTGTTTCTGTCCTAATGACACAGCCGCTATTTAGGAATTTGAGCACGGTACTCTCAAACGGGGGCCCTGAAGCCTTAGCTTGGGGTATAGTCATTGTAGTGTTTGGTGCAATGGCTCAATCTGCCTCGCTAGCCGAGATGGCGTCGATGCAACCAATTGCTGGGGCTCAATATCACTGGACGCACTACCTGGCACCGACCAATCAGAAGAAATTTATTACTTGGATGCAGGGTGTGTCACTTGTCGAGTACTTCCTGGCTGAATACTAACATTACGTAGGTTGGGTGACCTGGCTTGCATGGATTTCCGTACTCGCTGGTGTCGCCAATACCACTGCCACGATGATCCAAGGCCTAGCGAGCGTGAATTACCCGGAGTATGACCCAAAGCAATGGCACATAACTCTCATAATCATCGGAATGCTTATTGTCGAAGCGTTGATGAACATGTATACATTTTGGCTGATTCCGTGGATTGAAATGCTGGCGGGTATTCTGCACATCTGCCTTTTGATTGTGTTTTTGGTGGTATTCACAGCTCTAGCACCCCGTCACAGAGCAGACTTCGTCTTTCTACACACCCAAAGCACCTCGGGTTGGTCAAAATTCCCTGCATGGAACATAGCTCTGCTCACCCCAGTCTGGGGGTTCGTTGGTGCGTACACTTTATGTATTTGGAAGAAGCAAAGACCGAGAACTAATAATCGCAGGGTTTGATGGCGCAGTACACATGAGTGAAGAAGTCCGCCGAGCAAAACAAGCCGTTCCTAGGTCTATAATCTATACCGTCGTTGCCAACGGTATCCTGGCATACGCCATGGTTGTATGTATGCTCTTCACAATGGGATCGGTGGAGGAAGCCCAGAAATCAAGCTTTCCGATAATCGAAATCTGCCGGCAAGCAACTGGGTCTGTGAAAGCGGCCACCGCAATGGTGAGCGGTTTACTTGTGATCTCGTTGTCGGTCAATTTGGCGAGTATTGCTTCTGTATCAAGATTGACGTGGGCTTGGGCTCGTGACGGAGCCTTGCCCCGGTGGTTCAGTTATGTATGTACCCCCACCAGACGGTGCCATGTAAGATGACGCAGAGGATATTTGCTGACGGGAGCGGCAGATCGACCGCAAGCACAACGTGCCAATTCGTGCTGTTTGGCTACCAGTTCTCGTCGTTATGATCCTAGCGTGCTTGAATATTGCGGATGGTGCCGCCTTTGGCGCGTTCGTTGCACTCGGGTCGATTGGCCTCTTTGTATCATATTTTATTGCTATTAGCTGTATGGTGCATAACCGGTTTCAGAAGCATGCGGCGTCTCTTGGGAACTGGAACATGGGGATATGGGGGCTTCCGGTCAATGTCTTTGCTTTGGTATATACTGCCTGGGTATCGGTGTGGCTGGCATTCCCATCATCGTTACCGGTTACTGGCGAGAACATGAATTATGCAGCACCAATTTTTGGTGCGACTACTTTGTTCGCTTTTGTTTATTGGTTTATCAAGGGACGGACGCGGTGGGAGGGATTGAACAAGGAGGTTATTCGACTCGTTGTCGAAAGGGGAGGACTTCAGTTGAAATAATTTGTTTTTATATTTCTACCGAATGGTAAATACTGTTTTCAAGTTATGTTGTATGTGTTAGATACCAGGTATACAACCTTAGAAACCTCCTATCTTGGGCTGGGGATGAAGCACTCTATGAGCTTCCGAACATTTGAAGTGAAATAGATGTATATCTCTTCCTTTATGCTTCATGCGCTAAGACTCGCTCTACTTGGAGAACAATTCGCTAAATTAGCGGATTCTTTTGACTACATGGGTACAGCATATACTATCGTGGGAAGATTTTATAAACTGCAAGCCAAAATAACAAGATTTAAAATAATTGAAGTCTGGTATTTCTAATTCTGAGGGCCGAAAACAAGATCCATGTCGATCTCCACAAACCCTTGGTGGATTTCATCCAAGCGCTTCTCTGCAACTACTCTAGCACTTGCAAGAATGACAGCACTCGGGGCATCATATGGTCCATAGACTGGCATCGAGATACATCGCGGAGTGAGGCGATGGAGAGGCTTAAGGGTAACCACGGCTTTTCCATCTTTGATTCGACGGATCATACTTTGCATGAGCTTTTCGCTGGTGTACGTCCTGTATCTCTCGTCGAAATGCACTGTGACAAAATAAACGCACTCATGGTCACTCATCTCCCATTCAGGGAGCGTTGGACCCCCGAATCTATATCTGAACATACCTGGTAGCATCATGTTGAAATTTTATTGGTGAACCTGCTGGTTGATGGGCTAATTGTATGGTAGACTGAATCACTGAATGGAATGGCTAGTTATGGAGCAGGTAGATGGGATCTAATCTTGTTTAAATAGGAGACCATAGACAGCCATTATGAAGTTGCACTCATATTCTTAGATCTTGAGATGTTTCATACATGCAATAGCTTTGTCAAATCTTTCACTGCGTTCCATATGGTCATAGGAGTCAAGGTTGCTCTTTGTCTTCCTTTGTCTTCCTTTGTACCTGACATACAATAAACTCAATCCCCCGTGGCAAGCCCTTGCGGCAATCTGACAATGAGCCGACTCTGGAGAAACCTGAACTAGTAAATGTGGAATTTTCAAAGAGTATCCCAGCTACTGGGACATTCCAATTTATAAAGACCTCAAATACGTGAGCGTGCTTTGATATCTTCTCTTCCTCTGGTGTAAGAAAAGGACGGCTACCCAAGGAGGACTGTCGTAGAACTACTGCAATGCCTGACACACGTGCTCAAGCGCAACCCAATCATAGTGACGATTCTGAGCAGTACTAGGATTATTCATTTAGAATCAAGCCTGCCAAAGTCGCATTCTGGATAAACAGACATGCTCTACGAGGATAGAAGAAGGGTAGAAAGTCCAAGAGTGTAGAAGAAAATGTTCATTGGTGTCATAAAATGTTCGCTGGTGTCATTCGTCGTAAAAAGACCTTGGGCAAGTGCCAGCATCACCCACGGCCAATTTTTTGCAGAGCAAGCTCATGCTATGTTCAAAGGCACCGCCTTAAAGAGAGGAAAGAAGGGTAAAAATAGATCCAAAAGTAGATCAGAGGCTCAAACTTAAGCCTTGATACAGTACTGATATCCGAGCCACAAATCCGAACACTTCTCGTCGAGACCACGGTTCAAGCTACGGAGATCCGGGAAGGAGATTCCGACAGTTTCGGTCACCTTAACACAGAAACCACCGTTCATGACGGTATAGTATTTCTGGCATGATGGGTTGGCGTATGGGTAGAGAGGGGCTGTTCCCGACGATGAATTTGGGGCTGCTGGTGCAGTTGTCGCGGCTGGCGCGGACTTGGTTGTCCAGGATGGGGTGGGGGTGTAGCTCGGCGCGGCTGCGTGCACGTTCACGTTGGGGAACCAGGTGGGAAGGGTCCAACCCGCGGAGGAGGTCTCAGTGGATGTGGAGGATGTTTCAGCTGGCTGGGCGGTCTCGGCAGGCTGGGTAGCTGGAGCGGACGAGGTCTGGATAGGCTCAGCAGTCTCAGTAGGCTGCTCAGCAGCGGTCGAGGAAGAGGAGCTGCTGGAGTCGTCGCTACCACCGAGAACTCCCGCGCCACTAGTAACTGTTCCAATGGTAGCTTCGGTACACTCGCTCATGTCGCCAGCCCAGCCGCGGACACGGTTGGCGATGTCGGAGGCGTAGCAGTGGGTTGCGCCGCCCTGGCCGAGGTTACCTGATGAGGCGATAGAGCCAGAGTTGTAAGTGCGTGCGGCCTTGTAGTACTTGGCCGCCTCGCCGCCGCTCTGGGCCTCATAGCACTGCTTGAGACCGTCGCCCTGAGTGGTTCCAGCGGTCCCGTCTTTGATCATTTGCTTGATCATGGAGGAGGGGCAGGGAGTTGTCATGCCGCCACCGTTGTTGCAGGAGCCCTCGCCAGCGTGACTCTGCATGAGACCAGTGTTCTGAACACCATTGTTGGTGGAGTGGACGCGAACGCAGCCCTTACTCTCTTGCATAATAATTGCAAGGATAAATCGAGCGTCGATGCCAGTTTCGCTGGCGATCGACTTGATGCTGGTGTTAATGTCGCTTGTTTCGTCGTCAGAGTTGTCGCATGATGCGGCAATGAGAATTTGGTTGAGACCCCAGCTAGAAACCAAAAAAGTTTAGATCGACGGTCTGCTTATAGTATCTGGTCGATCTACTTACAGAGTCTCGTAATCAGACCATTGACTCATGGAAGGCCATCCTTCGGAGGCCTCGCCGGTACCACCCATGACAGCATAAGTGGCAGCGGCGCGACGGTGCAAAGAGTGATGGGGCTTCGCGCCATGAGGAATGGCTTGAATGAGAGTCGGCAGGCTGCCAGCAGCCAGAATCTATTGCAAAATTAGTCACGGCTGCATGGTTCGTTGGAACTGAGGACCATGTCGCACTCAACCACCGGTGCATGTGAAGTATAGACATACCAATGAAGGAAAGAACATTTTGATAGAGGGAATGAGGTGAGACGACAAAATCGAAGCGACAAAGAAACGATAAAGAACTGTGGAAGAAGCCCTGCTTGCACGGTCAAGAGAAAGAAAAAGAGACGGGAAACGAAACTATATGTACTCGCCAGTCGCTGTGTGCCCTGTCCCGTTCCTTTCTGGTTTGCTAAAGTGATCAGTCGAGGCCCGCAGCGGAATCGAATTAGATTTAGAGGTGGCTGTAAAAGTGGTCCAATAGCGGGCTTAAGACCTTGCGCATTACTCCGTAGGGTACTTCCGTATAGTACCTGTAAGGGCTGAAACACTGCCCGAGAGAGGACTCAGTCGGCTGGTTATGGAGCGATTGGTCTGTTTCAGATACCATTAAGCCCCTGGTGGGCGAACCTAGTTGGTCCTTCGAGTCGATGGCGTTCATTCCCCCGTGCGTGGGCTGGTGATTGGCCCTGTGTGGGGAGGCTAGGATGATCCATGTGGAGCTCCGATGGCAAAGTTCGTCCTTTTTTCCCTCCTTCTGGACCTTCCGGGTGGCTGATCAGAGACGTTGAACATTTGAATTCTTGGTTTGTGTTCCTGGATTTCTTCCCTGGTACCTGTCACCCGTGAGGTGTTTCCAGGGGTATAGCATGTGATAGGTAACCCAACACTTTCACCTGGGCATCACTTTTATCACTTTCGGACTTGAACTCGAATACAGAGTACTCATAACTCGCTTCATGTGGGACCACTGTCTGTCCCACAAAATAAGACAAAGAGGCAATTTGTAGGGTTGCATTGAAATGCTCAAATAACCGAGGCGTTGGCTGATTGTGGCCTCGTTTGTCAGGCACCTTACGCCAATCCTACCTCAGCTATGGTCTCACTTGAACAAAGATTCTTTTTTTTTTCTCGGAATTTTCTTACGGGGTAATAATGGTACAGAGAATATTTCAATCCTGTTCCTATTAGGACCATATCATGCACCATGGTTCTACCCGGGCCGCAGGATTTCGGCCTCATTAACTTCACCTTTTTTTTATGCTTGGAATAACCAGTCGCACTAGACATGAACACGATGTCATCACGAAGGCTATAGTGGGGACGATCAGCCCGCTCTCGGGGCAGTTCACGGGTAGAACAAAGTTCTTTCAACTGTTAACGCGTATTCTCCTCTGCCTTGGCTAACCCACAATAGAAGGTGAAAGTAGATCATCGCTATTCATTTGATCTCTTTCACTTTTACCTTGAAAGGGTTGATGTCGTACGAAGCCACTTCCTTTATATTCGGAGTAATGAATTTATCATTTCGGTCCCCGCTTTATCGCAAATGTACCTTCGGACTTCCGAAGCTGATTCATGCAATTCAATGCGATACCTTATGCACAGAAAGCATGACAGTGATGATCCAAAGACCTAGGCATTTACCTACCCAAAATCTAGGGCATGTGGCCACCAGTCATCGGTGATCTATGATCGCTTTGTAACACCTTCGGATTGCAATTACCATCGATCCTTTTGAAATTCCCTTATATCAGATATTGCTAATATGACAAGGATCCAAATGTCATGCCTTTTAAGTATGCAATATTCAAACGCTACAATACCTGGAAGAAATCTTTCAATACTTTGTGTCTCCGTGCATTTTGTTAATATATATATTAATCAAAGACTCCGAAATGAGTCCAGCTCCGTCTTGGCTTAGTCCGTTGTAGAAGTCGGAAATGCCAAAACATGGCGAATACAGGCATACGATGTTGGACAAAAATTGAAATCCCAACAATTCTGTCCACGTGGTCACTCGTTGTACAAGAAGCTAATTGTCACTGTTGCTAATAAACAAATATGCTTCGTGTCAGAATCATATGAATCTCCTAATATCATTTAAAATAATTAATTAATACGAAGTGCGGAGTAAGAGTATATAATACAGTGACTTCAACATTGTGGCTGTGGTTAAGCAAGGCCGGGGCCCTGGAGGCAACAGCGTAGGGATTTGACACTAATGCGGAGTAGTGAGTAAACATTCTAGAGGGAGTAAAGAGTAGGTAAATTATTGAGCAAACTATGTGATATAAGAGACCTCGGAGACATGTATTAAAGAATCTATAAAGAGACATGGTATTCATACCCCTGTAAAGCAACAAACAAACTGGCAAACTAGCAAACTAGCAATTAGCAATTAAAGATTTCAGTTTCAACTAACAAACAGTGTAGTAAACAGTAGGGTTGATGTCCAACATAAATAATATCTTTAATCTTACCATGAGCATTTCAGCAGATCTGCGTTGAAGTCTAAACTTGCATTCCGATGTCTCAAGGATGGGTGAAACATCTTCGCTTAGAGACCACGGATTAGTTATAGATGATTAAAGTGAACATCAAGTTTTGCCGAATAAAATATGCAATAATACGGAGAATTTGACGATCTTCGATATACAGAAGATCAATAACAGTTTGGCCATGGACAATTTGGCCCGCAAATACCATCCATACCACTCCGTACGGAGTACTCCAGACGCGCAGTTGAAATCAATATATGGGCGCATACATATATCAGGAGGTGTAGTGTGCTCCACCCCTCATAAACACTGTGATCGTCAGTTGCCAAATTTTTACAGCCATCTTTTTTTCAGTTCAAATGATCAGCCTGAACGATCTCCTACCAACCAGCCCCCGAGGATCCCAGCCCCTTTCCCCTGTCTATGGTTGATGTACAACATATAATGTAGCGAGAATCCTGACATCATACGTGCAAGTATTGAACTCCTGCTCCATACTCTGTTTTGCTTACTCCATATAGCCATCTATCCTGGGTAGCGAAGGGCCCTTACTCTTAGAGATTGTATCTCATGTATATAAGTCGCGTTTATCGGGATCACACATGAGATATAGGTCTATTCCATACGGCTATGTACATATTTAGTCCAGCAGTCAGACTTTAGGACAGAAAGAAGTGCTGCATGTAGTTATCTCAGCAGAAGTCTAGTCAATATTAAGCTCAAGGTTGATCCCAAGCAATGACATCCCACAAATTATATATAACCTATGTATAGAGTATATAACTATTGCTTGGTTTGAAATATAGATGATATCCATGGGTAGCAAAGCATGGATCCGAGGTCCAAGGCTCGGTGACATATCCACCCGTGGACCTGCACTTTTCCAGCCTTGGAATTGCATACAGACTATGAGGTCGCAGGCACCGAAGAGCTTAGCTATCTAAGCCCATAGACCTAGGATTTCTATTGGTTTCGGAATGGGACTTGTTTCGATTATATCCGTAAATCAAGGCATGCATAGCGTTGTGTATTCATACATGTTTCTAGAAACAAGCGATCAAGATCTGGATGAGTGAGAAGTCATGTCGAGGAATACAAGTTGAGAACGGTGGACACAATTGAACTTTCCAACATCGAAGCAGTGCAATCTGCATGTCATATTATTTATAGTGGAAGGGAGGCACTGGGAGGATGGTCGTTAAAGTTTTTAACTAGTAGGTTTTCCAAAGGATATATATCTCTCAATGAATATCCATACCTATATCTGATGAATGTACTTAAGTAATTACAACATATACGCTGGAAATTCCACACGGTGAACAAATTCGACCTATTATCAACTAAGTAGATGGCGGGCTGGAATCATGTACTAGCTAGCTTACGAAGAGTAATACAGGATCTTCCAAAATTATCAGAGATTGGCCTTGGTGAGCTCCAACTCAGTCCACTCCCACAAGCGCTTCCCTGCATCCTCATTGCATGCCCATTTGTTTCGACGTTTTAAAATTCCAACAGGTACATAATAACCTCCATTGGAAAGCTCCTCCTTCTTCGCGCCAGCAGCAGCCCACAACGAGTTACATGCTCCTTGATGCACTGTCGAGCCTGAGAAACGCAAAACCTTAGACCCCAAAGCAGCAAGCGGAGAATGCGAATTTACAGCGTCATACAAATTTGTCAAGATAATACCTGGATGGACCGCCACCGACATTATTGACGGGTATCGCCTACTGAGTTCCGCAGCGAAGAGAATATTCGCGGCCTTCGACGCTCCATACCGAGCAACTCTGTTGACCTTCTTGAGCTTCTCTTGATCTAAGATTTTCTCAAATGCAGGCGCGAAATTATGCCCCACAGAAGCGAGCGAAACGACACGGACATCCGAGCCAGGCTCTTCGGCCGTCTTGATAAGTGTTGGCAGTAGCAATTTGGTAAGATAGAAGTGCCCCGTATAATTCGTGCCAAGCTGGATCTCATGGCCCATTTCAGTCACACCAGGGGGCAGAGCCATCACACCAGCATTGAGGATCAGTATATCGAGACGGGATGACTGGGCGTTCATTTGCTCCGCTGCGGTCTTGATTGATTTGGCTGACATCAAGTCCAACGGTATCCAGGTGATGTCAACATCATTTGAAACGGATGACTTCGCCAATTTGATTGCTTCCTCTGCCTTCGCTTCTGAACGCGCGCCAAGGAATATCTTCTTCGGGCTGTGTTTGGTGAGCTGGAGAACTGTTTCTCTGCCCAAACCTGCATTTCCTGTGAAGGTACATAGCGTTAGATGCAGCGCTGCTGAACCATAGATGTACAGTTTAACCCACCACCCGTGACCAAGATGACCTTGCCAGTCAGATCTGGAATATCCTTTTCGGGTGTGAAGCTCACTGCACCCGCATAGTTGAGTGCATCCATAGCAGCTATAACCCATCCAGACATTTTGGCGGGGGTAGGAAATTATGGGTTTAGGTTGCGTTCGGCGTTGAATTGGTTAATATCCGATGCTAACTGACCTAAGAAAAATGTACCGGAGGAACTGTCTTCCCCGGCCTGAAAGTTGTCACAAATGCGAAGCTTCAATTTTGCAAGGTCCTCCAAGATTTATTAGTATTAGACGTACATAGTATCTCCCATGAACTACCTTTCAAGGGACCCACCCGAGAAGCGTCCCAGAGATAGGAGAGTGTCTAGATAAAGACATAGGTAAGCTCAGCTTTATATCAGGTACTCAGCATACCAAACAGGCCCTCGTACCCAGCTCTCTCCCATTCCCTTGTTGTAAGATGGAGCAGTTTTGATTCACATAGACTGATGAAATAAGATACGATATAACGATATACAAACTATACCATGAATGGGCCAGAGAAGCACATTGTAGGCCCTGGTCAGGGGACTGGATAGGTAACAGCGAAATCCTTGAACAGCGGGGATAAAAGGGTGCAGACTATTGCAGGATTTAGTGTGAGATGGTATGATATTCAGAGGTATTGATACCGCTGTAACTATAAAGAGCGTCGGTGAGCTTTTACACCAACACCAGAAGAATGGCTACTATGGATAGATGATAACACTGAGGCTTTTAGATAGTCGTGAGGGGCACGGTGCGGTGCAGTAATAGTTTCATGACAAGTCTGCACAGCATCCCTATGCGACAGGTTGTGGTGGCAGCGACCCTGCGTAGCCATGGACTCGTTATAAATGATCAGTCGTCCGCGTAGGTGGAAACTTGATGGAGAGGGCGATGCAAACGAAGTGTCTAAGGAAAGAAATAGCAATCGATGAAGAAGTGATGAGCAAGTTTGGAGCAATGATAAAAGACTAGATTACATGAGGTGAGTAAAATCTGAGTAGGATGTAAATGCCATCCCAAAATTGAATCTAGAGGTTGAAATATCTATTTGCCTTGAATATTTCACTTTTTGACAAGTAATCGACGACTGATATTTTGCTTCTCTCTCTTTTTTTCCGTTCTCTTCCTTCCCTCTCTCAAATACCCCTCGTCAACCTTTCCTTGATAAATTCTTCATCATTCATCATGACACACAGGAGTCATCAGCGGCAGCCGGATGACGCTAGTCAGTGTGATGCTGCAAAGGTAAGTCTGCATGTGACCAGCGTATGATATCTGTCAATGTTTATGCGCTTGGTAGTGACAATGGTTACTTTATGTTGTTGCCACTTCCCAATATTTATTCGATCTTTGATCATTAACTGACATCATACGTGTATATATCTAGAGAGCATCTCTTCCTTGCAAAATCTGTCATGAGGGCAGTCATACAGACGCGCAATGTCCATTTCTTATCTTCTTCAATCTCAGATATGGGACAATGACCTTTCAGGTAAGATACAAACCCTGGGGGAAGCAAAAGGATTACCCAGAGGACAGTTCCCAATAACGACTGAGTAGCACCAGCTTAGGATTCCTGACCAGGCATGCTTTCCCGCCCCCTCCCCGCGTCCTGGTGACTCTCCTATACATCGCCCACCGGTGCCTCTTGCACCCCGTGCATTGGGGTTTGCAAACTGCACGCTTCCGCTACTCGTTCCTCCCCATGCAGCGTCTCCTTCTATTCCACGGAAATCAAAACCACGGAAATCGAAGCTGGAAGCTCATTCAACTAATGGCACATTGATAACTGGACCAATCACTTTTAATGAGAACATTGAAATCATTTGGTAGGTTTCAGAACTCGCGATATAGTACAATAGAACTCTAATATAGGGCCAATATCCACAGTGGGAACAGTGAACACTTGGAGAACACGAATGATCTCCCAAGGAAGCTTACCACTTAAACCTCTGGTCCATTCTTGGTCACCTCCTTCTTCCGCCTTTGTGAACCCTTCCTTGTGGTGGGGATCGTCTTCCCATGGATGGTTCCCATCTACGCGACACTTGTGCTCCTACTCGTCTGTGGGAAACGATTCTCTTGATGCTGCCCATCTGCATTCGGTACCACTTTCATTAAGCAGATGTCATTATCGTTAGTATATGTTAGTTTAGGGCTCATATTGGTCAATGAAACCAGACAAGAAGTTGAATAGAAACTGAGACCCTATTGGCTCACTTTCTCGTCAGTTTGCTGTGAATTAGTGTATCTGGATTTATAGCCAGAGGTGTTACAACTACTTAGGCTTTCAAGTTCTTGCTCTTCTTCCATAACCACTATGTAGAGAGGATCAGTTAGAAAGGTGCGAAACTTTAGGATAGTAGCTTGGCCTGGGGTAGTTTGTTGATATCTAGCTCCTCAAGAGCTTCCCTCTTCTCATAATCAACTCTTCTTTATAAGCCTTCCTAGTATCTGCCATTGCATCATCATCTCAGCATCTAGTCCTCTCCCCCCTCGTCAAGAGCCACCTTCAACCTCTCTCTATCTACATCCTCATTTTCAAACCACCATCCACTCAAAGTGCCCATATCAGCGGCAGTATCATGGTAAGCTCTTTTCTACTGTCTGCTGTGATATGTTACAGGTATTGTGAGCTTTGGATTGTGGCCGTCCACCCTGGATGGGCACGCCTCAACCATCAAAGGGCTGCCCATATAGTTGGAGAGATGCTGCTATACCGACATTGATATACAGACATTTGTTCTATTTGAGTGGAGACTGACTTCATCTGGGTATACATGCAGGCGGTCACACGCCCATGTCCAGGATGCGGTCGAATGGGCCACCCGTTGAGAGAATGCGCATTTCGCAATTTCTATCAGTCAAGCCTGGACGTGATCTTAACGACCAAGCTAACTTTTGTCTTGCTGAATCCTGCCTTTTGCCCATACTAATTACTATTGGACAGCCTCGGATTTCTATAACTGAGACCCCGCCGCTCTCATTTGCCCACCGATGCCTTATCGCCTCTGCCACACAGCAGAAAGGGCACCCGCTACGAGCACTTGCATCCCAGAAGCCAAATCCGTCACCATTGGGTCTGAGCTCTGAGGCATGTTTAGGCCGTGATAAGATTGCGATGATAGGAGAACAGGCACCGAAGGAGATCTTGATGTGGCTCTTGAGTCCATAGGTTCGAATAGAATATGACGCTGGTGATTACTGGAAGTGGACCGCACTTATTTATATCAAACGTAGACATGCACTTATTATCGCAGTCCTCATGAAATTGCGGCTCTTCTAATTGCCATATAGCTACCCTTAGTGTACCTATTAGGCTAATTTCTTCATATCCCAATGTTCTTGTCTAAACTCATGCGTGTGATGCTGATTCACATCGAGTTCGGCTCCACCCCGACATGACCTGAGGCCTAACAGCTCGATAAACGTCTCACAACACCCAGAGCCGAACGAATGAGTACGTGGACCGTGTTATAATTCGATTATGCGGAGGCTTCATTGCTCAGAGCGACATTATCAAGAAGTCGTTTGATTTTCCAGAGGGATATCATTGCATCAATACCGAGCTTATCCTCTGGTCTGAAGAACAGGGCGGTGTGTCTGAACTGACAGTAGGATTCACGGAGATGTTTGATATCAGCCTCGGAAAGAAGCAGTGAAAGATCAAACACAGGAACCTTCGACCCAGTTTGCGTGAGAGCCACCGAGTCCAAAGAGCCACTCAATTGAGATGTATCCCCGGCAGCCGCAGAATTCTTTGGTCCAAGAAGCAGGACACCGCCATATTCCATATGACCAAATCGCTCCAGACTTCCCAGGGCTTCATTCAGTGCAGCATCCGAGTACTCGGGTAGATCCAGGGCCCTCCAGACCCCATTGGAGGTGCCGACGCGTTTGTATTTGTCGAGTACTGCACCCAGCTTCTTAATAACGACATCCCTCATACCCCGCAACATAATTTCCGGAGTGTTCTCCGACCAGATGATTCTTTTCTCTTCGTGCGCCGTCACAGGGCCCTGGGGATGCTTCCATCGGAACGGCAACAGCCGCATAATCGGTGGTTTTTTCCCGCCCTTCTTGGAGAGTGGCACTGAAATAGATCGAATAAGTGGAAGAAGCTCAGCAATGCGAAGCACGAGCTGGCGTCCAGTCTGCTTATCTGGGGAGGTCGGAATTGGCGGTGCCTCCAAGGATTCCTCTTCACGGCCATTGAGCCCCATTTTTGGGCTTTCCGGTTGGCCTGGAATGATTGGCTCTGGTGATGAGCCGAGGTTCCGGGGCTTATTGCTTTGCAGCGAGTCCTGCAGCAGACCCACAGGCATCATATGAAGCTCATCTGTATTTGGTTGTCTAACAAGACCCCAGGTCCCCAGCAGGGCAGATGGAAGGCGTGCACCAGTCACAGAGCACATACGTGCCGGCGAGGCCAGCATTATGGCCCACGGGTTCTTGAGCAAATCAGCTTCCTCCTGTGCCGTGGGGCGTCTCTTGCGATGCTTCTCGGTCCCAGAGCGAGGATGTGCGAGAAGAGGAGATTGCGGGAGTCGCTGCGAAGGAAGTACAGAGTTCGGTTTCGGTTTGTCTGTCTTTGTTTCTAACGTGGTTGCATCAACTTGGTCAATTTGCCGCGAGGTCGAAATGCCGCGACTGACTGTCTGAGCATGTGAAGTTGCTAGCAATTGTCGGAAGGCATTTAGGCGCCATTTTGCGTACGGGATGCGTGTACCCACACACTCCATTTTTTGACAGTTTTTGGGAATAGAGCCTGATGGTGAGTTGAGGGCGGAAAAGATGATCTTGGAGCTGTTGCAGGAGCCAATCGGAGCCCCTTATTTGCGGAGATGTTGTTGATCGAACAGTGGTTGTCGAATAACGTTACAGGCAGTGCAAAGACCTAGTTGGGTTCTCAGATACTATCAGATTATTCTCCCAGACACATCATACTCTCCGGAGAAAGTTGTTTCTAGATCAAGACCGTCGCAATGCCGCTGTTCACCTGAGCTCCTTATCTTAGCGTGGCTCTTATCGTATCAGGCAGTTCACCGTCCACAGTCTCCCGACTCGGCATTTCCGACTTCATACAACTACGAATCCCTTGGGCATATTTTTGAAGATGTTTCCAAGAGTTCCTCTGCGCCAGCTTGGGTCGTTTGCCCCAAATCCCTCGGGTACTGTCGCCCGTCTCGCCGCCAGATTCGCACGATGCTTCTCGAACCAAGGGCCGTCACTTGCGCAGCCCCCGCGGAGTTGGACACCGACCCCATTCGTGACAGAGACAGTGGTATGCTTGATACCCTCTATGGGCAAGAAAATTCCTAATGCGCATCTACTAATAATGACCAGGGAGGCGGCTGGCACACTTGTATGTTTTACAATTGAATCCGTCGAAGCTTGAATATGATCCAAAACATGATCTATCTGCTAATCTATACCGCACTACAGATGATATATTTTCTCGATTAATGAAGGTAAACCAGACCAAGGAAGATACTACCTCCGCAACCTTCCCGTGCTAATCAAACCTCCAGGAACGCATCATCTGCCTTAACGGCGAAGTCGACGACACCCTCTCCGCATCGATAGTCGCACAACTCCTCTTCCTTGAAGCCGACAATCCTGCCAAACCAATCCATCTTTATATCAACTCACCAGGAGGCTCAGTAACAGCCGGTACGTGGACCTCTCTCAGTGGATATCCCCGACCTATACTGACTAACGATTCCACAGGCCTCGCGATCTACGATACAATGACATATATCGCCTCTCCCGTGAGCACAATCTGCGTTGGTCAAGCCGCCTCAATGGGATCTCTTCTTCTTGCCGGCGGCGAAGCAGGCAAGCGTTACTGTCTCCCGCACTCCTCGATCATGGTGCACCAGCCCTCGGGCGGCTACTTCGGACAGGCGTCCGACATCGCTATCCATGCAAAAGAGATCCTGCGTGTGCGCACCCAGCTCAATGAGATCTACCAACGCCATCTTACTGGCAAGAAGCAGTTGTCTCTCGATGAGATTGAGAAACTTATGGAGCGCGACTACTTTATGGGTGCTAAAGAGGCACTCGAGCTGGGTGTTATCGACGAGATTCTGGACCGTAGAGTTCAGGGGAAGGATGGCGCTGGGGAAGAGTCTAAGCCTCCTACTGCATAAATTGTATAATGTGTCTATGGGTCTTTGATATATATCAGGGCTTCTCGGTGTCTACAAATTCTCCCATGGGACTATACCAGCTGCATGTAGGATCATGTATTAACAAGATTGGCCATAGTCGATTTCTCTCTCGTACCCGGGAAATTATATTCAGGCAGTTTTGGTTTGGGACAGTGTTGGGATATACTATCTCAATCCAAGATAATTTTGGAACGGATATGGATCCTTGAGCAAAGGGGATGTGTTGATAAATATAAATCCCATGAAACAGCCTGTAAGCATGGCAGTAAAGCTTTTCTTCATGAGAATTTACCAATACGTATATATAGTTTACTACGAGAGTAGAAATGCGGATTTGCATCACATTATATTCGCACGTTCAATGCGACCATTAGTCCCAACCTGGAGACCAAAGCGGCGCCGCAGGAACGTTGCCGTTTCAGGAGACGGTACAAAGCCTGACGTCGGCCGTGCTTGCGCATTTGAATGGCGCATCTGATCACGAATTGTACCAAGCAAGCTCATATTGACAATGACAGCCTCGCCAGCGGCGAATGTATCCATGGGGTGTTCGCCCCGAGCACCGCTGCCAGTCTCAGCATCGGCCGGATCAGCCAAGAGCGTCGTGCGCTCTTCTTCAGCCTCTTCGTCGATCCCGCTACTGTGGGTTGAATCAGAACCATGATGAGCGGGGGGCATTCTTTCACCGCCATCTTCTTGTAGTAGAACGCCGCGCTCTTCGGCATCATGGTCTTGTGGCACGGACTCTTCCGCGCCTGGGTTTATATCTGTGGTTGTGTCTGTGGTTGTATCTGTATTTGGTGCTGTAGGCGACGGGGCGGGGATTCCATTAGTCTTCACCCGCTCGATAATCAAGCCCAGCATGATAAAATCGATGAGAAGGATTAAAAGGTCGAACGAGAGAAGTCGATAAGCAGAGACAGGAGCCTGCCCAATAAAATCGATGAACAGTCCCCCATGTAGGTAGCCGCGTGTTTCCTCGCCAGCCTCGGGACGAATCAGGAACGCATGGAAGAGCATGCAGATGAGATTACTGCCGATGATGGCACTGACAAACGGTTGATTGCGTGTGGGCTCAAAGGGGGGTGCTTTTGGCGTGAAGAAGATCAATTCGACCATGGCACGTAAGGCAAATAGGATAATCGAGCAGCTGTACCGATATAGACAGACGTTAGGAGTTTGTCGCGGTGGAAAGAAGGTTCATTGCTGGCTTTTGGGGTTGAGCTTACTCCATGTAATACAGGGCGGAAAGTTGACAATAAATTAATATGTCGAGATCGCGTAGCAATCGATCAATAAAGGCGACTCTGGCAGTCGACTTGACTTTCTTCACGCGGGCGTTTTGGCTGCTGAGCGTGCCTGTTGGCCTTGGGGGCTCCGCATCATCATAGGATATGCCGGACACGTCAGCGATGTATTCCGCATCCCGATAGGCACCAGCGTCTGTCATAGAGGGTCATGAGCGCTTGGAAGGTATCCAACAAGCAAGGTATAACGAGTCGAGGTGGAGACTCCCCGTTACTTTGGTGAGCTGGGGTAACTATGGATCGCAGATGGTCGAGGCGGACTTTCCTCGGTCCGGACCACGTGCTCCTCCCAAGTTACATTCTAAGATGTTCTGGTGGTACATACAATCAATTCAAAAATTGAGCGCTTTGAAAGAATACTACTATGCTTGAATGTGGTTTATTGCTTGTGTTGCTTCATATGGTTATTTATGGTGTGCCTAATCCACAAGGATCGTCTTCGACAGCTCGGAGTAATGCTTGAAGAAGCCAGTGAATAGACGAATGGCGTGGGCAACATCATATGTACCGCCTGTTTCACGGATACTGTGCATGCTGAGTTGCGGATTACCTAGATCTAGTGTCCGCGCGCCTAGCGCAGCGGACAGCATAGGACCAATGGTGCTGCCGCAGCTGGAGTCATTACGAACCACAAACAGCTGGAGAGGGACATGCACACCAGTCTCCTTGGTGGTCTTGCGTGCAATCTCCTCTAGGAGAACAATTCCAGGAGAGTTCGTTGCATAGCGAGCATTGGCATTAATCTTAATCACCGGGCCCTTGTTCATCTCTGGCTTGTGGTCCGACTCGTACTTCCCCGCGTAGTTGGGGTTGACTGAGTGGGCCATGTCGGCAGAGACAAGGAAGGAGGTGGACAGGGTCTGCTCATAGGCAGTTGACAGGTCGTTGCTCTTGGAAGAGGAGGATGGGAGGACTGATAGACGGCGAATGATCGACGGAAGAATGTTCGAGTCCGCACCCTGTGCTGTACGGCTTCCGATTTCCTCGTGGTCAAACAAGGCAATCAGGCGAATCGCATCTTCGTCATCGAGGGCTGACTTGTCAGCCACAGAGTCAATCAGACCAATTGTAGCGCAGAAAGTGCTGTTCAGGTTATCTAGGCGAGGGGAAAAGATAAATTCCTCCTGCATACCACCGAGGCAGGACTTGTGAGTGTCGAACAGGATCATTTCGAAGTCCAGAATGTCGCTAGGATTGACACCAGCCTCAGCAGCAATAAGCTCAACAAAGTGAGAGTGGTGACGTTCTGTGACAGACTTCAATGGTGACAATGAGTCATCTCCCTCGTCTGTGTCAGGTGTGTTGGCTCCATTGCGATTGAGCTCTGCAGCAATAAGGCCAGCAATAGGGAAGAGCTGTGTTTCCTTGTTGAATGCAAAGGTCTCCTGGCGGTCCAGATGGATGGCCAGTGTTGGAATACGGAGGACTAGCATGTCAGCAAGGCACATTCATCGACTCAACATAAAACATAAAACATACTGGGACGGTCAATCTTGACCAGTTTCTGCACGATAGATCCGTCGCTTTTCCGAGTCATAACCCGGCCAGCGACACCCAGATCACGATCAAACCCTACATGGAATTAGCGACAGTAATAGTATGAAGGTAATTAATGGCATGTACAAGTGTGCCAGAGGCCTCCACCGTAGGTCTCAACACCGACCTGGATGAAACCTTCCCCGCTCTTCTTGCTAACGGGCTTGACCCTCAACACCGGAGAGTCAGTGTGGGCACCGATCATAGAGATGGAATTGCCCGGCTATATTGATTATTATCCACGGTTAGTTGTGATATTATTTATCCACTTCTGCAATCGATACATACCTGCCATTTCTGGCCGATCGCAAAAGCCACAAGGGTAGTAGTGTTGCGAGTCAAGTAGTATTTGCCTCCCGGTTGACAGGTCGACGCCCAAGACTCTCTCTCCTATTGATGGATGAGCCACCATTTTATTATTTCGGTTTCAGTGAACAAACCCTGATTTCTTGGAATCCAGCCTTAGTCAGGAGCTCCTTGGCTTCGTGGACGGCATGGAAAGCTGAAGATAAGACAGATCAGCGACGTTCCGCGTCATCGCATAGGGACCACATACGGGTAGGGGCAGAATTTACAAAGGACAAGAAGTCCAAAGCAGATTGCTTGGCAGCCATTGTAGAATAACGTTTAGAACAACCAATAATGTCAGGATAAAGCCGCCTGAGGAGCATTGCAGGGTAGAACAAAGAGAGAAACCTGGCTTTTGCCGCCACAGGTTTGATTGGTTTGGCGGTGACAGCGGATGGCAATGTCACGTAACAAAGCCACCACCTTCAGTGAAACTAGATAGTCTTAGAATTGTATATATTCAAGGTTATTCAGATAAGAATTCTAGCTTTAAATCATTACTATTACATGTACTGAGTATGTTGTATATGGATTGATGGTTCTATATGGAGTCAACCCCACTATAGAAGCTTCTGTGCACAATTTATTGTGTATTGTCGTTGCCATGGCCCAAGCTTCGTCGCGTCGCGTCGAAGCGAGCGCGTTTACCAAATCAATCTGCGGATTTCGCGTTAGTAAAACGGCCCATACAGGTCCCTCACTTCCCCCACTTTCAGTGGTCCAGTTAGACCAGTTTGGGCGCGTCCCTTCCAGTAAACAACAGGAAGCATCAGTCTCGATCGTAACAAAGCCATGCTGACACAGATCGTTTCCAAGATTATCGGCAACTAGCATATGACTGCTTTGTGAGGGAAAAAACAAGGAACTAAACTTCGCTTTTAAAATAGTCAATGAAATATCACCTGGCAATGTGTGTGATTAAAGACAAAGGATAAGGGCTGATTTGACCTGGTTGATGGGCCCCGATTGCCTTCGCTAAATCGGGTTAGCGTACCCGACGCGTGACCCAGAGAGTCGCCCTGCGCAACTCCGTCACTCCCTTGAAGACATTCATTCATTCACATGCCTGCAGTTCAGACACTTCTTTGTTGATCTATTTGGTGAAACAGAGTCTGCTAATGCTTTGATTTGGAACATCTTCCATATTCAGGCATCAGCAGCTGGAACTCTCATCCCGCCTCTGGATCAACAACAACGGACCCTCTGCGAATCGCCCTTCAAATACCCTTGTCCCTACACCTGAATTTCTGAACGTTTGACATCCCCGATTGGTAGACATTTCACTTCCATCTTATGCAACTTTTATCCTTATCTTGATCGGTTTCACTTTGTCTCCGTTGAACCGACAACCAGGCATTGCCATGACGGACAGACCTCAGAATTCGGAGAAGGGTGGGAGTAAGTCGGCAACAAGACCTGAAATATCACAGATCTCAAATATTGCATCACCACCTGGATCGAAAACACCGCCAAGCATGCCATCAAAGCGCACGATGTATTTCCCAGACAATTCGAATTCGGGCAGCCGCCAACCGCAATCGCAACCTGCAGCAGAGCCAGTCGACCCCAGTGCGCTTGCAAAAGCATTGAAGGATTATGAGGCTGCTGGAAGTCGGCGGGACAGGACCCCAGCCTCCAGCCCATGTCGCAAGAGACAGCGGGTATATGGGGACCGGTAAGCCACAAATTCTATTGTCTTTAACCAGATAATCCATGACAAAACAACGGTAGTCATATGTAACTCGGTTACTGACTGTGATTTAGATTCATCCCTAATCGTGAGGGACAAGATCTACAAGCGACTTATAGCCTGTTGCATGAAGATGGTTGCCCATCTACTCCTTCCAAGACCAAGAAACGTCCCCCTCAATCTGAGCTCCATTTCCAAAAGAGTGTGTTATATATTGGAACCCAATATGTTGTACATTAAAACTGACTTTTTAATTGCAGCCGAGGAAGCCAACCGTACATTCTCCCGGGTTTTGCGCAGCGAGCTGTTCGGAAACACGGTCCCACAGCCCGACTTGAACTCTGCGCCTCCCGATCCATTAATCGGCTTCAGCAATGGGATCAATGACAAGACTCGATCCCACACACCTCCCTCTCATATCGCTGCCAATCTCCCTCCCGCTAGCATCACCCCCACCACCCCACACAAGAATCTCTTCAACTATGGTCCTTCACGGACCGGATCCGGTCATCCGACCCCCTCCAAAACCCCTCGAAGTGTGCATGGCCCCAACTTAGACGTGCGCTCTGAGCTCTACAGCCTTTCTCCTATCCGATATGACAGCCAACGTATCCTTGAAACCCCCCGAAAACAGGCCCGGTATGTGAACAAGGTGCCTTACAAGGTCTTGGATGCGCCGGATCTTCAAGATGATTTCTATTTGAATCTGGTGGACTGGGGCAGTAGTAATGTTCTTGGCGTTGGATTGGCGAATTCTGTCTACATGTGGAATTCCCACACGGGTGGAGTTACGAGGTTGTGTGAGCTGAAAGATGATACCGTGACCAGCGTGAGCTGGATTCAAAGGGTAAGCAAGGAATCTGCATGTCACCTCCCCATACATGATACTCACATTAGGGACTATAGGGTACACATCTTGCAATTGGCACTGGTAAAGGTCTCGTACAAATATGGGATGCTGAGCACTGCCGGCGTCTACGAACCATGATTGGACATACCAACAGAGTTGGCGCTTTAGCATGGAATGATCACATTCTCACCTCGGGATCTCGGGATCGTCTCATTTATCATCGTGATGTTCGATCTCCAGACCAGTACGTTCGAAAACTTTCTGGCCACAAGCAAGAGGTCTGCGGCTTGAAATGGAACACCGAAGATGGCCAATTAGCGTCTGGCGGAAATGACAACAAACTCATGGTTTGGGATAAGCTGAGCGAGACACCCCTCTACCGTTTCTCCGACCACAATGCTGCAGTCAAGGCTATTGCATGGTCCCCTCATCAACATCATCTTCTTGCTTCTGGCGGTGGTACCGCTGACCGCACGATCAAGTTCTGGAATACACAAACCGGCTCAATGATCAAAGAGGTCGACACTGGTAGCCAGGTCTGTAATCTCTCTTGGTCCAAAAATTCAGATGAGATCATTAGCACACATGGTTACAGCCAGAACCAAATCGTCATTTGGAAATACCCGCGTATGGAACAAATCGTCTCGTTGACCGGCCACACTTTCCGCGTACTTTACCTCGCCATGAGCCCTGATGGCCAGACTGTCGTGACAGGAGCTGGAGACGAAACACTGAGATTCTGGAAATTATTTGATAGACGAGCTACAAGAGACACTCGTCGGGAGGGTAGCAAACTGGCCGAATGGGGCACCATCCGGTAGCTCGGCCAACCCTCTACTTTCTAACTTGTTTCTTCATCTGCATTCGACATGGCGTTTTTCGGTTCATTATTTCAATTTGGTCACTCGGGGAAATTATTGCATGGTTTGAGGGGGATCTGACTTTGCGTCTTTTCATGCGTCGTCATCTATTGCATCTTTCTTTCTATCGGTGGTTCAAAACATTTTGCGGGTGGACGTCCGGCGCTCGGTCATTCGGAATGGGTGTTTTGCTTGTTTCAGTGCTTTTCTTTTTTTCCTTTTCCCGCTTCTTGCTTTCTTTGATCTCTTCCTTGGGTTAGTCCTTACTCTGGCCATAATGGCCAGATGCCTTTGAGTGGAGTAGACACTTTTACATCCACGTTTCTTCAAGGCTTTGAGCGGCGGCGCTGGTTGGTTTTCCTGGTTGCCGGTATGCGGCGTTGCATGGGGGTCCTCGCAAGTCTCTTGCGAGATTCCGAGGTTGCCTTTGATGATGACATGACCCGTTCTTCTTTTCTGGCACGAATTTGTGCCTGTGTTCCTATCTCAGAGGATTTAGCTATGCCGACCTTCATGGGATCTAAATGCCGGAAACACAATGAGAATTGAAATTGATAAAACCTGTGTTTCCCGAACACCAAGTTCTCTCATGTAGTTATTTAACTTGGCTAAGAAATTTTTCCCTAGAAATGTGATCTAGTCTCTTTTAAGTGAAGTAAGCCAATCAAGGAAAGATCTGATTAGCTATGATATACTGTATACATTCATGAATGAGCTTCGCCTGCCCAGTTTTTGGCTCAGATGACCGGGAACAAACAAAAGAGGAAGCTCGAAGAAGGGGGATTTGAAACATCAAGGAAAATCTAAAGTACCAATCGCGCTGGCTCAACCGAGAGGAGAGTCTTGATTCGCTCCAGGAATGCCTTAGCGCGAACCTCTTCACCAGCAGGGACGGTTAGGCTGAAAACATTGGAAGCAACACCAGACGAGCCCTCAATCGACGCCGTAGGAACAGACTTCTTGGGTGACTTGCCACTCAGGAAATCGATCAGGTCCTCGGTGACAGGCTTAGAGCGGACAGTCTTAGGAGGTTCGAAAGCGTTCAGCTCGGGGATGTAAGCTCCCCGTGATGTGTGGATCGGTTTGGCGCCGAGAACCTCATCAAAAAGCTCATCGTCGGAGGGCTTGGAGCTAGCCAAGCGGGGCAGGTCGTCGTTGGCAAGGTCTGTAGCTGCGGCAAAGAAGCGGGACAGCGGGACCGTCACACCCAGGTTATCCTGGAGTTTCTTCTGGGTAGCCAGCACGGCAGCTAGGGAAATGGAGATGGCGACGGAAGTCATGGGCAGGGGCTCGGCGACAACCTCCTCTTTGGCCGCCGGGGCCGGGGCCGGGGCGATCTTGATGTTGCTTAGATCGAGGTGAGATAGCTTGGCCAGTGTGGCAGCCTGAGTTGACGGGTAGTTCGCGGGGATCTGGCCGATATATGCCAGCACGTCACCCTTCAAGAGACGACCCTTGGGGCCGGAGGCTGGGATCTTGGAGACATCGGACTTGGGGATGCCCTTCTCACGAAGGAGCTGGGCGACGGAGGGGTAGAGCGGATAGGCGGGGTTCTGGATTGTGTGAGAAGTAGATTGCAGGCCTAGAAGGGATGGTGTTAGCATATGCTAAGTAACGCTTGGTATACCGCAAGTAACCCCCGCCATAGAATCGAGCTCAGAGGAGCGGCTTTCAGTTGCGGAGATGCTTTTTATGGGAAACTCACGTCTGCCGATACCGGACACCTTCTGCTGACGGCGACTAAACATGGCCGGAACCTGGCCAAAGGTGATCTTGGCTGCCATTGCTAAGTGATGGAGTTTGGAAGACTGGGAGCGCTGCGGTGCCGATTGGGATCTTCGGCCGGTGTCGCAACTCGCCGCGGACACTGGGTTTGAAAGGATCGAGCAGGATCAACGAAGGGCCCACCACCACGTTGAAGCGCACAAATATCCGAGTTCAATTGGTTTAAGGTCGTGTGTTTGGAGAGATAATTCAAAAGCAACTGTTGGAGGTGTTGAGGGCGTTGGGAGCTTTCACCGGCGGCCGGGACGGGAACATTTTTCTGCCGCCTACTGTTTTGGACATTGTCGGCGACTTCCGAAGAGAACGACGTTCAGTTGATTCTTGTTCTAGTAAGTTGCCGAATGAATGTATTCAGTCATTCGTAATGTGCCAGTTTCCTTTCAGAATTATAGCTGCCAATTGGCTACGCCTCATCGCTTTGACTGCTTTGCTAACTTGAACATCCATAGGCTCAACGCAAACATGTCCGTCAAGCCACCGACCTTCTCAATATTTTGGCGGCAATGCCTACAAGGTCCGATGCGACCTGGCTTTCAAATGAATCTGACATCATCCCCTCGCTATTTCAATTCTAGCGTGCCTCGCCACAAGGCCAAGGGCGTGGCCAGAACTATCGATTCCCCGTGGCAAGCCGCAAGCCCTTATGGGAACAAGAACCCCCGTGCCCTTGCGAAGCTACAAGCGAAAGTATTACAAGCCGGAGAAGTGCTTTTGTATAAAGCTCCTTCTCATCGCCCATACGTCTTAACTGCATATGGGCTGTCCGCGTTTTGCTTCGCCTATTCCATCTACAACTCGAACGCAGTTCTCCGGGATCCTCTAATTCCCCTTCCAATGTGGCAGAAATCTCTATTTGGTGGTATCTGTATCATGATGAGTGTTGGAGGCACCTTGTTCATCTCCCGAACTGGCTCCCTAGTCAGAAATATCAAAGCGATCAAGTCCGATGGCCGTATGCGCGTCCTCTTCACAGTCCGAAGCATGGTCCCTTTCAAGAAGCCTTATCAGATTCAAGTGGCGCCAGGTGATCTCTCCTTCAAGCGCAGAATCTCAGTCTCTCCGGAATCCATGAAGCGTTACGAGGATAGTGCCAGGCTCGGTCGTTCTCTGGAAACTGAGCCAGCCTTCTTCAGAACACTGAAATCCATACCTCGCCGGACCTTTCAGAGCATGCGAAAGCTTTTCACGAATGAGGACTTCATAATTGTCCAGCTGGCGGGTCACAAGACCCATTTCAGGCTGGACTGCGAGGGATACATCTCGGATGATCTCCTGCATTTTGGGCGCATGGTGGATGTGAAAATGCCATTCAGAGATTGATTGGTGATCATTGTTCAAGTATCACTAAGGCCTTTTTGTGTCCTGTAGTGGGTTTTGTACATCATTTTGGCTTGTCAGCGACAGCGCACTTGTAATAACAGTCGAGAATGCAGTTTCAATCTACAACCAAATCAAATTATATTATAAGATTATATGTACTCTGTAGTTACTATTTGCTCAGGTGTCATAATAGTATGTAACCTATGTCTATATGGTCTCTCTCTCTACAATGCATCACTATGTAAATTTGGGGAGCCACGTGATGGCTCCGGCGCGTCTTTGGCGGACGCGGTTCACCCGTTATCGCGCCCCTCCCACATCTTGCCCACAACCCGTGGACTCAATCTCTTGCTTAAATAACAGGGTTCTTGAATTTCTCGGCGCGTCGCTCCCTCAGGGAAGCCGCTGGCAAGATGGGAAAACTCATTCGATTGGAGCTTTTCAGTATGTATAACCGGAATATACGCCGCAGGCAGTAGCTAACTTTGTCACTAGACTTCAAGTCCTACAAGGGACACCACGTACTCCTATTCGGAGATGCATATTTTACATCGATTATCGGCCCGAACGGGTCTGGCAAGTCAAACTCGTGAGTGCCTCCTGTCCTTAGTCCGAAGAGCCCTAGTCTAATGCGCATTAGGATGGATGCCATATCTTTCGTTCTAGGAATCAAGTCTTCTCACCTGCGATCGACCAATCTCCGTGATCTTGTGTACCGAGGCCGTGTTCTGCGCACATCTAAAGTTGATGGGGAGCCTGCCGGTGATGGGCAGGATGGCGAGCAAGAGGAGGAGCCAGAGAGCATGGACCTCACCCAAGACGTCGGTGGAAACGACCCGAAGTCCGCTTGGGTGATGGCAGTCTATGAGGATGATGCGGGTGAAGAGCAGCAATGGCGCCGATCTATCACTAGCCAGGGTATCAGCGAGTACCGTATCAACAACCGGATCGTGTCCGCCCACCAATACAATGAGGCCCTAGAGGAGGAGAACATCCTAATCAAGGCTCGAAATTTCCTTGTGTTCCAGGGTGATGTTGAGGCAATCGCATCACAGTCACCAAAAGACCTTACTCGGTTGATTGAGCAGATCTCTGGCAGTCTGGAGCACAAGGCCGACTACGAAAAGTTCAAGGCGGAGGCTGAAGAGGCCGCAGAACAGCAAACCATCCAGCTCAACCGTCGACGAGGCATCAATTCCGAAGTCAAGCAATACCAGGAACAGAAGCGCGAGGCTGAGAACTATGCGAAAAAGGCCGAAGAACGCGACCAAGCCATTATCACTCATATCCTGTGGAAGCTGTTTCACTTCCAGCGGCTGATCGACGACTCCAGCGCGGATATCCAGAAATACCAGGATGAGCTCAGGGAGTACCGCCGAGGCGTTGAAAAATATGAGAAAAACGTCGAAGATGCCAAGAAAGACCATGCTCGAGTTGGCCGAGATGTCGGCAAGGCAGAGAAAAACATCACGAAAAAGGAGAGGGAGATTGAAGAACTCAAGAACTCGCTTGTGCCTGTGGACGAAAAGATCGACATCACCCAGAAGAAGGTCGAGAGATACTCCTCGAAGATTGCTGAGATTGAAAAGGAGCGTACGTCACAATCAAACAATGGCAAACAACTAGAAAAAGATCTCAAGCTTGTCGAGAAAGCCCAGGGCCAGTGGGAAGACGAATGGCAGAAGACGATGAGCAAGAAGGGTGTCCAGCTGAGCGAAACCGATCAGCAGGAGTACCATAGACTCAGAGAAGAAGTCAACCGGCGTTCATCGGCGGACTCCTTGAACCTTGACAATCTGCGCCGGCAGAGAAAGACCGAAGCTGAAGCAGTCAATAGCTTGAAGGGCAAGTTTGAGAACACTGAATGGCAGCTGAAATCTGTTGAATCCGATGCTCAGAACATGAATGAACGCAAGTCATCTCTCAATGACACCGTCAAGTCCACCTCTAAAGATATTGACCGCAAGAAGAAGGAGCTGAACGCATTGACTTCCGAGCGGTTGAAGGTCTCGCAAATGCGGACCGAGCTAGAGGAAAAGCTTCAGGTCGTGTTAAGGAAACTTCTCGAGGCCGATGATGGTAAGAAGCAAACCGAACGCGAACTCCGGGCCAAGGAGTTGATCTCGGCCTTGAAGCGCATTTTCCCCGGTGTCAAAGGCCGTGTCAGTGATCTTTGCCGACCGAAGCAGAAGAAATACTCAGATGCAGTCAGCACCGTCCTGGGTCGACACTTCGACGCTATTGTTGTGGACAACGAGAAGACCGCAAAGGAGTGCATTCAGCACCTACGCGACCAACGAGCAGGCCAGGCCACATTCATCCCGCTAGAGACAATTCAAGTCAAGGCGTTCAACTCGAACCTGAAGGGCATGCATCGGGGCATGCGCCCTGCCATTGAGACTGTTGACTACGACGATTCGGTTGCGCGAGCAATCAGCTACGCGTGTGGTAACTCTATTGTTTGTGACGATCTCGCGACGGCAAAGTATCTTTGCTACGAACGAAATGTGGACGCGAAGGCTGTCACCCTCGATGGAACTGTCATCCACAAGGGTGGTCTCATGACTGGTGGACGTGGTCCTCAACAATATTCTAAACGCTGGGAAGATTCCGAGGTCGAGAATCTGTATAAATTAAAGGAGAAGCTCATGAGTGATCTAGCCAACCTCCCCAAGAGTCACCGCCGAGGCTCTGAAGAAGAGACACTACAGGGTGAGCTCGTCGGCCTCGAGCAGCGCCTCACATATTCCCGTGATGAGTTGAAGGCCCTTGAGCGGAACCTCGAGAGCAAGCGTAGCGAGCTGGACTTCGTTAAGCGCCAGATGGAGGAACTGCGACCCAAATACACCGAGCGTAAGGAAAACCTCGACGAGCTAGACGAGACAATCGAAACGTCACAGGCTTCCGTCAGCACCGTCGAGGATGAGATCTATCGCAAGTTCTGCAAGCGCTTGGGTTATGATGACATTCGAGAATATGAGGCCCAGCAGGGTTCTATGCAGGAAGAAGCCGCACAAAAGAAGCTTGAATTTACTACCCAAAAGAGCCGGATCGAAAACCAGCTCAGCTTTGAGAAACAGCGTATCCAAGCAACCGAGGACCGAATCAACGGCCTGAAGGCCCAGTACAAGCGCGATCAGAGCTTGATTGAAGAGCTGCAAAGCCAACAAGACGAAATCCGCAACCAACTCGATGAATTCGAAGCGGAACTTGAGCTCCTCCGAGAGGCCCTCGAGAAACAAAAGCAAATCTATGGCCAATCAGCGGAAAACTTGGCAGAACAACGCCGCGAACTCCAGAAGCGTAGCAGGCACGTTGAAGTAGCGTTAAAGAACGTCAATTCGCTTGAAGCGGAGATCCAGAGAAACTCTTCCAATCGTTACACTCTTCTGCGCCGCTGCAAGCTTGAAGACATTGATGTTCCTTTGAAGAAGTCTTCCAATTCGCTTGACAAACTTCCCATTGATGATCTTGTGCAAGCAGCAGACCCGGATGCCATGGAGGTGGATGAAGGAGATGATTTGGACGAGGCTTCTCCGGTCCATGATTACGGTATTGAGGTCGATTTCGATTCTTTGGGAGAGACCCTGAAAGAGGTTTGTGTATGCTCCTATCGCTTTAATTTCTCACATGCTAATCCGATTCCAGGAGGCCGATGACAAGCTGGAGGATGAACTGCTTGAGAAGGTCCGCGTTCTCAACAGTGACCTCGACAAGATGGCACCAAATGCTCGTGCCATGGAGCGCCTGGAGAGTGTCGAGAACAAACTTCGTAGCACCGAAAAGGACTTCGAAGACGCGCGGAAGTCTGCACGAAAGGCCAAGGAAGAGTTTGAGTCCGTGATGAAGACGCGATCCGACCTCTTCAACAAGGCATTCTCCCATATTTCTGAGCAGATTGGGCCGATTTACCGCGAGCTCACGCGCAGCGCCAACTACCCCTTGGGTGGTCAAGCGTAAGTTTCTTTTTATCTCCTCACTCTGAAGATCACTAACATTCAAAAGCTACCTTGACATTGAGGATTCGGACGAGCCCTACTTGGATGGCATCAAATACCACGCCATGCCTCCTCTCAAACGTTTCCGAGACATGGAGCATCTCTCAGGTGGCGAGAAGACCATGGCCGCACTTGCTCTGCTCTTCGCTATCCACTCATACCAGCCGTCTCCATTCTTCGTGCTAGACGAGGTCGACGCAGCTCTGGACAACACCAACGTTGCCCGCATTGCCAATTATATTCATGATCACGCCGCGCCAGGCATGCAGTTCATCGTGATTAGTTTGAAGACTGGACTATTCCAGAACAGTGAGGCTCTGGTCGGTATCTACAGGGACCAAGTCGAGAACAGCAGTAAATCATTGACGCTTGATGTGAGTTTTGAAAATGTGTTTTTCCTATATGTGGAAATATGCTGACAATGATCATAGCTCCGGAAGTACACCTAAATGCTCCATATGAGGTTTATGCGGACCTTGTGATGACCCTTTGCTGCTTTGCTTTTCTATTTCTCTTTGTAGATTATTGAGTCTTGTTTTATTTCATTTCTACCGGAGTCGATAATATGGAGTAGCAAACCCAGTGTTTCATCTGGGCAATTACTTCTATCGATAAGGCTGTTAATTGATACCAGTTTCTGTGCTGTGTGTTTTTTTTAAAAAAATTCCAACTTCATCCTTCGTACCTGCCGTTAATCCTAAGAGTCCCTGTTTCCGAGCCACACGTCAACCATCCACACAACTATGTACATATTTGGATACTTCTACGCCGTAAAGGATCTCCCGGAAGTAGATAAGAATAGATTAAATTTAGTTCCATATCACTAAATGTGTCGAGGCAGCCATGATAAAACCTAGATCCATCACTCCATGGCAAAAGATAAGAGATATCAAGGCCTCGCGAAAAAGAAAGCAAAGAAACGACCGTAAAACCACGTCTCTACCGACTTCAAGTTCCAAATTCAAGAACCTAACTTTCACCATGCACAAGGCATGACGCTTGTTGAAAGTAACGGCGTGAGACGAGACGTATCGATGTTGCAGAAAAAGAAACAAGAAAAGCAGAAGAATAAACCGAGAGCGGAGAGCCGAAACCAAAAGAGACCGTTATCTGTGAAGTTTGCGACTGGGCACCACCATGACAAGAGGTAGGCGACCATCGAGACCGTAAGTCAAACCTACGAGTCCATGGCTGTCTGTCCCATGACCTCAATCCCCAGTGTAGGCTTCATCTTGGGGGTGAGCTTGATGCCAGAAACACCCTTGGCTAGAAGAGCAGCCTTAGATTGAGAAGTAGTATTGGCTTGGGTAGCACTCTTGGACTGAGTAGCAACTTTGGACGGAGTAGCACTCTTGGACTGAGTAGCAACCTTGGACGGAGTAGCGACCTTGGACTGAGTAGCGACCTTGGACGGAGTAGCGACCTTGGACGGAGTAGCGACCTTGGACGGAGTAGCGACCTTGGACGGAGTAGCGACCTTGGACGGAGTAGCACCCTTGGACGGAGTAGCACTCTTGGACAGGGTGGTACCCTTGGACTGGGTGGCACCCTTGGACTGGGTAGCAGCCTTGGCTTGAGTGGTGATCTTGGCCTGAGTTCCGTTGGCCCCAGTAGCACGCTTCGGCTGGGCAGCAGTAGTATCGAGTTCAATAGCTGGCTTGGCCTGGACTGTGGTCTCACACTCAGTGACAGGCTCAGCTTTGGTAGGTGCATTATCCTCGCTGGTCTCGGCGGCAGGATTCTCAGAGGATGGCTCGGGGCAAGTGGCAGAGGTAGAGACAGTCACAAGAGTCTCATCAGGTGCAGCCTTCGGGTCATCTGCCAAGTCGGCGGGAGAATAATTCGCAGCTGGGCTGCCTTGTTCGTCCTCATTGAGTGGTTTCGGGACCTGACCAGGGATGCTGATGAAAACACTGTTGACAGAGTCAACATTCTTGCGAATGTGAACCGAGTGCTTCAACTTGTCTTTGACCTTGAAGTCACAGGGGACTAGACGGTTGTCGGGTTCCTCGCCACGGTGGTACTCATAAAGGCGGACTTTGAGTCCACGGATAACGAGGGCCCAGCATCGCTCGGTAGGAATCGGGGCATTGATCAGACGGGGAACCTGTTGATCCCAGTGCTCTTCGATTGGAGCAGAACGGTCGAGAATAACCTTCACGATGGCATGAAGGGCCCTGTTCTCGCCAGTAGCTTTCACGATGAAACAGTTCGAGTGGTTGTTCTCCTCGTCCTCTTGCCATTTGAGAACCCAACCATCGTTCGAATCAAACGCGTAAGTGAGAAGACCGCTCACCATGATCTTGGCATTTTCAGCGGTTGGTTTATCCTCATACGCGTTGATGAAGTCCGCAATAGCGGGAAGAGAAAGGTAGCCGCTCATTTCCATGATGAAGGGATGGGTGAGAAGTAATGAGTAGAGTGGAAGGAGATTGCAGGAAGTTGAGGAAAGAAGTATTGAGATCCACGGGTGGAAATTATAAAATGAGATAAGCGTAGGTGAGCAAATATCAAAAGGCAAACATTTACACAAGGAAGTGGGATCTTAATGGAAACCCCGTCTTTAGTATTTGAAGGATATCTAGTATGTTAGTATACTGCTTCATTTAACATGAAAGTGCGAGATAAGTAAGAAGCTGGCAGATATACTACGTATGTGTTTATTCTGGGCAGGCCTTACTATAGATTGATATTAGTTGAAAAGGCAAAGGTAAATATGCTAGGGAGAGATATTTATCGATATACATGGTAATTCCATTTTGCTACCTAAAAGGTATGTGAATGAAATATAAAACAGTAGTTTCCAGACGCTAACTACCAGGTGCAAGCTCCGCTCGCCATCCCAAAATATGTTACATGAGCATCATTCACCCCCTGTCCTCCCTGGGCTTCGCAGCACTGAACCTCGTTGCCCGTGCAGGTAAACGTGTTATGAGAGCCTTGGGGCTCAATACTCCAGTATTCAACGCCGGCATGGACATAGCCTTGTTCAGCCGGGGGCAGGTTTGGGATCCCATCGTTTGCATGGGTGACCCGGAAGAACTGGGTGGTCTCGGGGCTCGCCACTTTGAACTTCTCATTCATATACGATGCGTATGCCTTGTTTCCGGTACGTGGTTCGCCAAAGGTGTACAGTCTGACCTGATCGTATTTAGCGGACAGCTGACCGGCAGTTATTGCCGCCATCGAGGCACCCAGACTAAAAAATTTGTGTCAGTCAAGCCAGAAAAGAACAGTCAATAGAAGAGAGTTGGCGAAGTAAGAGTAAGATCATTGTGAAATTGTAGGCGCGAAAAGGAAGAACTCTCATACCTGTGACCCGTCACCGTCAGTGCATACTCCGGATACTGAGTAGCTTGCTTTTGAACAAGCGACTCGACTTTATCTTGGACAGAGATCCATCCAAGATAGTATCCACCATGCACGGCACAGCCGACACATTCAGGCAAGGTGTCAAAAGGAGCGAGAGTGTAATTGGTATCGAGCCGCAAGTTCGTATCACCGGCAGTGCCGCGAAAGACGACGATAATTTCCTGACGGCTATCATCACGGAGAACCCATCCATTGATATCTGTTTGGGCGTTGTATATCTTCTCGACCGTGACGATAGTTGCTGGAAGCTTACACAAATCTGCATAAGCAGATTGAGAGATGGTGGCCATCTCAACCAGACGATTGTAGGTGTTTTCAGGGATTCCCTGCGTAACTGCAGCTAGACATTGTCCTATAGTCGCAGAAAAGCTGAGAACGTGTGTTGCGGAAAAGGCTTTCATGTCGACAGATTAGTGAAAATGTCGGATGGACGATGATTCGGTATATAGTATGTCGTAGAGCACATATTTATATGGATTTAAAAAAAAATGAACATTAATTGTAGGTGATCATATCCCCATCAAGGTGAAACCTCAAAGTCTATAAAATTACGCAGGCAAGAGCTATGGGACTTGAAGGATGAATTCCGAGGTCCGTATGTCTCATAAGCACTACCTAAAGACCACCGGGAAAAGCCCTGTTTCAAATCAAAAGCTGTTTCCAAGTCTATTCTACCGATTGGTCTTGGGAAAATGGGCCGTGGAATAGTTGAAGATCTCGGCATGTGTTGATGTTCAAACTACCGTTGTTTGCCAAATCGGGAAATTCGTCCGGGAAAATGCGGAGTGCATGCAGTTTGATCAAACGGTTAATATACGGAGTAGTTAATATATACAATGCAGCTAATATTCTCCTTAAATTCGTGGACCCTGATCGGCCCGTTCCGTCTCAATTTAGTAAACCATCAAAGCATAACAGCCCTAGAATCTGAAATAACCCTAGAGTAGATCCTATAACTATGCACTTTTTCAAAAAGTTTACGACACGGCAAGTTTTGTACAACTGGAAAAATATATTTTCGAGTTTAATGAACAGAAATCTTCAAAAACACAAACTATTCGATAACAATAACAGCCTTCTTCCCTAGAGCCCTTGTCTCTAACTCTGGCAACTGGACACCTTGATCTGAAGTTCGGCCTCAATAGCAGAGCTCATAACTTCAGATAGAGATGGAAGCATTTCCTAAAGGCCTGCGATAGCATTGTATGCATCCTTAGGGTTGTAGTTTCCGTCGAAAAGCAAGGGGTTCTTGTCAGCGCGCCATGAATCCTAGCAAAACACCCGAGATTAGTATGAATTCTTATTTAGAGGGGGAGAAGTGGGTATTTACTGGGTCAGCAACTCCCCAAACTGTGATTCCGACACACTTTGGCTGCTTCAGGCAAGCGTTGGCAACCTATAAAAATAAAGACTTAGTAAGTCAATTATACCAGTTCTGGCATGGTGGAAACTCACATTGACATAGTCAGTAGAGCTGGCGCCTTCAATATCAAGCTCAGTGACAGCGACCTCCTTTGTTCCTGCACTGGCTAGAGCATCAAGAGCTGTGAGAGGTTGTAAGCTAATTTGCAGTCAACACGAAGCAAGGGGTTACTTATCCTGAAACTGCAGCACCAGCACCGGCGCCTAAGTGGGTTTGGGAGCCTATAAATGTCTGAGCAATCATGTAAGTTGAAGTGGAATGACAGGTATCTTACCGATTCCGTCGATTGGGATACCAGCAGCAACCCATTTCTTGACATGGGCGACCATACCCGTCAATTTAGGATAGGTGGCGGAGTCCAGGCTACATGAGTTTAGAATTCATTCAAAATGGAAAGAACAGGGTGCCACTCACTTGTAGTCATTGATGTAGAGCTTGGCATTTGGGTCGACAGCACGAGCTGTTTCGAAAGCGATCCGCACATAGTCTTCACCGATAACCCTCTGGAAGACACTGTCACGAAGGGTACCATCCTCGTTGAAAATTTCATTCAGAACGTCCTTGAGATCAATCAGTAATGTAGCTTTGTAAAACTCATATGGATACGTACCCAGGCGTAGATCTTGCCCTTGTAACGGGTCATCAACGTGGTAATATGATTTTTCATCACATCGATGAGGGTCGCTTTGTCTGTGATGGAGTTGACCCAACCTGGGAGCTGAGAGTGCCACACTTGACGAGTTTAGCCTCTTTTGTGATATGTTTGAATTAGGCGAAAGAACTTACCGAGAGTATGGCCACGGATCAGTTTCTCGTTTGACACGGCAAAGTCGACCTAGAGTCTGTAAGAACCAGGCAAAGAAATGATTGCCACTGAAAAGGCCAAGTACATACCAGATAGTCTGCCCCCGCGAAGGAGAACTTCCCCTGAGATGCTATTGTGCAAATTAGCTTTTCTGTCACACTAGTTCGAGACCGTTGTACTCACGCTCAGTAGCATCCCACTTCATGCTATTCTCTGGGGTTAGCTGACCGAAGTTGGCCTTGATGATTGCCGGGGTCTTCGCATTCTTGCTAAAGGTACCCTGATCACCAATATTTCCCAGGTATTTCTTCCCATGAGCTTTGAAAACGGCATCAATGCTCGCAGAGGCTTGTCGGGAGTCAACCGGTCCAGAAAGTACTGGGCTGGCGAAAAGGATGGCTAGAGCAGCTGCCTTGATTGGAATCATATTTGGAAACATGTTGGTTTTTCAAATGGATGAATTGAAATGAGAATGGTATACAGATGACACTGACGGGACAGCGTGTAGATACTTATACTTATACAGGACAGCAGCCAAAATCTCTCAAGAAGAAGTTCATAGTTGAGATGCTAGCCTAAAAGGAGATCTTTCCCCGATAGAAAACGGGGTCTATATCATCTATCTCTTTCACTGGGGAACGGACGTTACCTATTTTATCCAAGCTAATAAATAAGAGTATTTGGGGTCCTTCTTTTAGCCTAAATGTTTCACATAAATGACATCTAGATGATTTAGTAGCAACTCGTGCTAAATAGTTATCAAACTAAGCTCCTTTCAGGTAGGCTAATTGTAAATTCTTAGCCTCTAAGAAAAGGATAAAGGTGAAATGACGGAAATGAAGAGAGGGGGGTTTCTCAGGTGTGGAGATGTCGATCATCTTCACGTTTGAGGTTCAAAACAGTTAGTTTCAACGCCAAGTTGGGGTAACCCCCCGAGGTCCCCTCCCAAAATCCTTCAGCCTTCTCTTACAATAGAACATATCCACCTAGTTAGTGATAGATCCAATGACATCCATCTAGAATGGCATCCATTAAGAATGACATCCATCTAGAACTTCATAGCCTGTTTTATAGTGAAACATGTGAAACAGCCGTATGATTTATAATGTATCAGTAAGAAGTTAATCCCTCTTTTGATTGATACTCTGAAAACAAGTTTGCGAAGTTGATGTGAAGTTGGTATCTAATTCTTAAAAAGGGAATAGTCCGACGGAGTATGATATTTCTGGCTAATGTTGTTGCTTTTTTATCCTGGACCCTTTCTCTAGCAGCAAATCAAAACAGTCAGAAAAGCATAGTCATCTCTTCTCAGTTGAAACGCTGTGAATTTTATCATCAAAAGTATTCATTCGATTTATTTTCTCCGGTTAATAATTCATTTTATAAACTCTGGACCTCGGGAGCCCTCTATACTTGGAGTATTTAAGATCAGCTCCTGCCCAAGTGGTTTGGCTTTCTTCTTCAACTCTTCAAACATTCACAGATCAAAATCTTAATCACAATGAGATTATTCAACTCAAATACTGGCCTGGTGTCATCTGGCATCATGTTGCTCGCATCACTGCCAGCTGCTATCGCCGACTGCCCGCTTCCGTCGACTTATAGTTGGACATCAACCGGCGCTTTGGCAAATCCCAAGTCCGGATGGAAGGCACTCAAGGACTTCACTGCAGTGGTTGTCAACAACAAACACGTCGTCTACGGTTCAAACGTTGATGCAAGTGGTAACTACGGCTCGATGACCTTCGGCGCCTTTTCGGATTGGTCTGGCATGGCAACTGCGAGTCAAGTCCCAACGAGCTTTGCAGCCGTTGCACCGACTTTGTTCTTCTTCCAGCCAAAGAATGTTTGGGTCCTCGCCTATCAATGGGGCTCGAGCACCTTTACCTATCGAACATCGACTGATCCTACCAATGCCAATGGATGGTCAGCTGAGAAACCCCTTTTCTCTGGAAAGATCGCCGACTCAGGCACTGGCGCCATTGATCAGACCCTCATAGGTGACTCTACCAATATGTATCTTTTCTTTGCAGGAGACAATGGCAAAATCTATCGCGCCAGTATGCCAATCAATAATTTCCCCGGCAACTTCGGAACGAATTCTGAGGTGATCCTAAGTGACACCCAGAGCAACCTGTTCGAGGCAGTTCAAGTGTACACTGTCAAGGGTCAGAACAAGTACCTAATGATTGTTGAGGCAATGGGAGCCCAGGGGCGGTACTTCCGTTCGTTCACCTCCGACAGTCTCGGTGGCAAATGGACACTGCAAGCAGGGGCCGAGAGCAAGCCCTTCGCCGGAAAAGCCAACAGCGATGCAACCTGGACCAACGATGTCAGTCACGGTGATTTGATTAGACTCAACCCCGACCAAACAATGACCGTTGATCCATGCAACCTACAACTCCTCTACCAGGGGCGGGACCCGAAAGCCGGTGGTGACTACAATCTCCTACCGTGGAAGCCTGCCGTGCTTACCCTGAAGAAATAAATCAGTTTTGGTTTTTGGAGAAGGGCTGGGGGAGAAGGAGCTGAGATGAAATTGTCAAGAATCATGAGATGATGACTATAGGGATTTGAGGTCATGAGGGGAGATCATGCAACGGCAGCCCTGGAGATGTAGTTGGAATGCCCCGCGCCCGCTACCTTACTATTTGCTAGTGAATTCACATCTAACTACGGTCTCTTCCATTTGCATAACGTAGTAAAGTCCTGTTGAGAGAACGGAAAGCCAAGACCTGGTAGAAATTATTCGGTACGGATATCGTTCCTACAGTTCTACTACATCAGGAAATAGACCTAATCAAAATGATAAGAAGCCAATAAATCAATAGTTAGGAGAGAGCAGTTATTTGGATTATAAATAGTTATTTCTCGAGCTCTATCGCCTACTGGTGTGAAACTGTAAGCAATGTAAAAGAGGTATAACCGGAAAGATATATATTTAGGCGGACGATGAACAAAAAGTCCACATTCGGTTGAGACAGAGTATATCTGCCGTGTCCGTACGCCAAAGTCATGATCAAATAATCTCTAGGAATGGAAAGGTGTTTACTCAATATACAGTAAAGTTCAAAATCAGCTTTACCTTCAATATCTCACCGTGACCACGATCCTGCTATCAGAGTAACAGGGCTTGAACAATCATGTACAGTATTTCAGCTATTAACTTAATTAGCAATGCAGTTGATCAAATCCTAATCTGATGTATAGCTCAAATATATTTTCAGCTTATACATACAACTAATAGCCCTGCATAGATTCTCTCACTCGTGTGAGAATACCAAAGCTCTGACCTCGACGCTGACCCTTGGAGACGGAATTCCTAAAAAGTTCAAGGGGGTAAATGATGTGTGAGGAGTATCTGCAGCAGAATCTTGTTAGCCCAGTGAACTCTGTAGGGCTTCTCCAGTTCGTAATCTGGAAAGTGCATAAGATAGGGGCATTAAGCTGATAATACGGATACCACTCACATTTGACACTGCCCTCCTTGGTATCAAAGCTTTTAAACAGAAGGACGTCTTCTACGTCCTGTCCACTCATGTAATACCATTGATATGTATCATTCGGCTTGTACTGTGGATAGAGAAGAGTTCCAGTATAATCACCAAGTATCATATCTGTTTCGATCATGTTAGATAGGTCCAAGGCTCGACCATCACACACGGCAATAGGGTGATCTTCAATCGGTCCACTTATTGGTCGCCAAAGACTATTTGTATCAATTAGGGACAAGTGTTCAATCAGCTCTTTTGGATCCTGGGACTCACTTGATTATTTGGACTCGTCCAGAAAGAAGGTGTTGAGATTCCTCGGAAAGATGATTTCGAATACGCTCTATCATGGGGGTTCCAATCTCGTCCCGGGTGAGAAGCGTGTCTTCAATACTGTCAGCAATTATTTCGAGAGACTCAGTCATCTTGACTAAACAAATCTGTAACCCACCAATATGAACCTGTCGGGCAAACCCCTGCAAATTTGGATTTCTCCGTCTTCGCTCTTTTGCGCTTTTTCGCTTCCTAATCTATCAACATTGAAACCCAGGTCAGTGGCTGTAGGCAAAAGTAAATTCGCATTACCTACTTTCCAATCGAAAATCAAAATGTCATCGGCTGCCTCGATCTCATTTTTCAAAATACTCTTGCATTCCGGCAAAAAGATACTCTTAATCTTTTCTTCGTCCGAATAATCATATGGCTTTGTAAGAGCCGGACCGTGGCATCTTTTATAAGCGAAACCGTTGGTGTCAAGATTAAACAGGGGCTCCGCCAAAGCCCTGATGTCCCTTATAGTCTCCGTTTGTTCTGCCGCACAGAATACTAGATTGGTCGTCTTTTCACGTTGTTTTCCCGGAATTCTTCGCCTAGCAAATTGCCCAATTTTATAGGGGCGAGTATAAGCATAACTGGGCTGCCATTGGAGATATGTCAACCTTGCTTCGATATCTGCCATACTGCAAGCCTCCCGAAATATGAAATTAAGTGAAGAGAGGGAAGTATAATACACTTTTATGCAGTGCGCAGATTAGCAGCTTCTTATATTTCAAAATCTTTGACTATCTATGGCCCTCATGTCAATAGCAATCTAGATGAACTAAACCGAATATGCCCAGGTGGTGATTAGGTGTGAGTCATTAGAGCGATCAAAAGTACACGGGGTTAGGGCCGATAGGCACCCGCAAATTGTCAGTGTCAACCGTATCGTAAAACATAGGGGTCCGACCAATACATTAACGCTTTGGAGGTATACTATCCTGGTATCATAAGGAATATTACAGCATTTGTAAGATCAATAGTTCCTCCGATATACTGGCGTCACGCCACAAATTGAGTCATTATGACTTTGGACCCACGCTTAAGTCCCCACAAAGTGCATTACCCTGCAAGAAAGAAATGCGATCGGTATCACTGGTTAGTATTTGAAAGACGACTGATAGTTAAACCTACTACTGTATCATATCACGAATGAAGTGGAGTCTTGAGACATAAAGGATTGGGATTATATTGTGTGGGTTATTATCACGTCATGCACTATATATATCGGAGCCTGGAATATCTGAGCATAATGCTCAGATATAGTGGTCTTTTTGGCCTAGTGTGTAACTCGCCAGTCCAGGGGCAGGTTGTAACAGTTATCGTTGATAGCCTCCGAGGGTTGCTGCCGAGTACAACAATAATAAAATGAGAGGGGAGATAGTGCGTACTGACAAAAGTCATGAGAATACTTTATTTTACGATGATTGACTATAGGTACCTAAACAATGCAAAGCCGGTGGAACTATATCGCAATATAGATTAGTATGCGGTAGGGCATGGAGGGATAGAAAGATATTGAAGGTAAAGCGGATTTCGAAGATTACTGTAAACGAAAAGACTGCTCACCACTGCAGGAGTATGTAGTGGCTTACTTATGACAATAGCTTAGGAGATCGGAAACGAATCGACTTCAAACTGCTTCGGGGCAGTAGATTAAATAGGGAGCAACTACAGAGTACTCTGCAAGGAGTAGTTGATCAAGTGGCAAGCAATGAAACGAGCAGCCAACCGCATCACGCTGTACAATATTTTGGCTACATTGGCGGTACATATGCCAGTCGTGGACCTGAAAGATACTGTGAACCACACATTAACAGCCCACGGCGTTCTAGCGCACTCAGTTCCTCCGAAATCCGATCAAGTATATCCTATGTGTCTTAGATAACAATAAATTCATTTACAGCTACACAAGCCAGGTCTTTCGAACTCCTTCAACGCGGCCCTCTGGGCGTGAATTTCGACTTCTACTGCAAACCATCCCCCACAGGCACCTACATCAAGAGACAGACTGACTGGAGCACAGCAACTAGTTCGAAGGGACTAGCACAGAGTCGGAATCAATATTTCGTATGACAATTCCATAGTTACGGTGCTGACCAGTGAACAAAGTGAAGAGCCTAGGCCCACATGAATGGGAAATCGGTGCGACAAGGGATTTCCATTGACAAATCAATCTCTTGTATTGACAAATAAATAGGCGCAAAACAAGAGCTCAAAATTGAGCTTTCTTGGTCAAGTATAGATACCTGGTCTCGATTTTGGGTCAGTTGTATCTGATTCATGGGTATTGGAAGGTATTTGGAAAAAAGAAGGCTTATCGAATCGGGGTTAAGTTAGGTCCCCATGTACTGTAATTCCCTATACTGCTATGCCTACTGTGACTGGTGTGCATTGCCCCAACTTCCTATATTCAGTGACATCCCCTCTAGGCTTTCACTTAACAATTTCTAGGTGTCAATGTGTGATATAGCGTATATCGCAAAGTAAATGAATAATGACCAAAAGCGAGCATTACAGTTATGTGACCACTCAGAATAAAGCCAAGCTTTGAGTACTTTGAGTACGGGGTACTTAGCCTATGACTTTAATCTCTTTCCTGGGAACTCGACGCCAAGTACGGTGAGAGGAACGACAGAGTCAATGAGTGCAATCTACTTCTGTTTATGGAGTAGTCACCGCCACTATTCAAGTAACTGGCACTGTAACCCCACCGAATATTGCAAATCATGCCCAATGTCAACCCCAGACCACCCGAGGTCTAAGTTCCAATAATGCACCTTTCCTGCACCAATATCCTGGTACCAGGGTTTAGCCATCTGCACCCAGCTAGCAATGGCAACGGAATGTTAAGCGGGAGCATCGGGAGTACCACCCGCGGAGACGCACATATTCCGATGTGCTAAACGACATTGCGCAATGTACTCCGTACTCCGTAAGCATACAGCAGGAACGCTCGATATTTTGTTACTGAGCATAAACAAATAAAGAAAAGCGGTATTTCCAAATGTGCCATCCCTCGAGGTGTTGTGCGACGGTAGAAGTATGTACGTATGGAGCACTCCCTACATGTAGGTAGAAGCACTGGCGTCCACGGGCAGATCACCATGAGCATGCGCATAATATGGCCCTTATCAGGGGCAATACTCTTCTGTACGGAGTACGGAGTACGGAGTACAATGTACAGAATAAAGAATGCGGAGTACAATAGGAGAAATAACGTAATATTGTACTGGGTATGGAGTGTGTATTCCGTTGTTGATCACTTCATCTTTTGGATGTTACGGTGCGCCTCGCGCATATACTTACGCAAGGGACGCATGTCTTTTCCACGCCACTTGCTGAGAGGCTTTGTAGTCGATTTTTTTGTGGGGTTTGTGAACCCTTGGGTATTACAGAGTTTGGAGCGAATGCGGCTCAGGGGATGGTAATCTACATATGTTTGCTTTGCTGCTTGGCGTCTAGGTGCAATATATGTACGGAGTGCCTAGCCCCGTGTTTTTGATTGCGTGGAATTAATATTGCTTTTATTTTCCATTCTTTTCTTGCTTTTGCGAATGATAATAACGCAGCCTGGAAAGGAGTGTCCATGAATTAGTTATCTAATAAATTTTAGGCGTCAAGCCATAGGATACATAGGCAGATATCAGGCAGATGGTAAAAAGTATAAAAAAAAAAGGTTGATACTTACTAGGTCTCTTTCCTTGGTAGGCAAGTACTGACTCAAGATCGAAGATCTCGATGTCTCTCCTTGCAATGTCAAATGAATTTGCGGGTACCGGGAGATCGCACGACAGTATGGAGCATGGGCCCTGGAGGCTCGTCGAATAGCATCAAATACAGCGACACGGTTACATGTTCCGTGTTCTGTGGGCGGGCCTAGTCCACATAGCAATACTACCAGACCCCCTAAAAAAAAGCAAAAAAAGAAGAAAAAGAAAGAAGACCAAATAGACGGTGGAGGAACACTCATAACATTGGGCCTTGCTACAGCTGCAGTTCGCTGCCGCCGCAGGCCGAGATCCAGGTGGCGCTAGCTAATCATGACCAATTTTTCGATTGTTGGCTACGTCGTATACCACCGCGCCTCGAAAAAGAAACAATGCCTAAAGATCATGGTAATGGCGTGGTTGATCAAATTCGCAGTGCTCAGCTTCTTGGCCTGTGATCCGCGGTCCCCCCCCCCCCCCGCTCTCAATAGACACTGTCGATCCGGGAGCAGGGAACCGATCCCAATGGTAGTTCAAATCCAGTTAACCTTGGAGGCCTTCCTCCTTATGGGTACAGATAATGACCGTCATTTGCAATCGAAAAAGGCTTCGATTCGGGCTTCGGGTTTCCACGTCTGGTCATGCACAATGCCGCAGGACATCGAAATTTGGAATCGCCAACTGAATGATCCATGCTAGTGGCGCTTCGATACGGAGTACTCTGTACAAATCTCAACTTGATGTCCTCTTTGCGCTGCCTTGTGGGAAAAAGAAAGGAAGCGTTCGAGCGCAACCAAGAGGCAAAAAAAAAAAGAAACCAATTGACCAGTGTCTAATTTTTTAGGGATATTCTCGGGGTCGGTATGCGCACGTCCGGAACCACTAACTCACTTCCGCGAACTTGAAAATAAGCTCAAGATTTGATGGTCGCGTCTATGGGTTTGACCCCAGGGGGCCTCAGCTTAACACACTAAAAATATTCATCTCCAGGGCTTCAGTTTCCAGTTTCAGATTAGGTTGGGAAGGGCACGGACAATGGTTGGAGGAAGCGCCGGGTGGAGATAAACATTCTGGTACTCCGTACTTCAGAAGCCATACTAACTTATCCACAAATTCCCAAGGAAAAAAGAAAAGAGAATGAGGGGAAAAACAATACTGAGCTGTGAGAGTGGCGTGCACGGTAGTTGAAAAGGCCCATTGGGACTGGCAACGCAAGCATCGATACGGAGTAGATCCATTGATTTTGGAGAGACTCACCTAGACCATGCATCTATTAGCCTCTCTTGGCTTGCAGGTGATGATCTCAGAGGCGTCGAGGATGACCGCTCTTCTTTATCATCTGTCGTGGCTGATGTGACCAAGGGATCGCCGATCGGTTCATACGATTGGATAGATGATTTTTTTTTCCACTTTGGGGCTTACTGGATAATTATTAGACACAGGACCTTCTGCAATGTCGACTATTCCTACGGAGTAGAAAAATCATAATCGTGAACTTAGTGTATTTGAAGCGGGAAGATATTTATGGATACAACGGCTTGCTGCAGATAGGCTGCAAGTAGTTCAGATAGTGGAGACATCTGTTGAGGGATTTGAATAGATTTAAATAATTTGATTTGTTCAAAGAATTGACGATCTTTGTGGCTTGTCTCTTAAGGTAGAAGTTGAGACGTTCCAATAAGTGTTTGGGCTGATCTCGGACCCGCCGACAGAACCATGGATCGAACAAGGTTATGTGACACTTATCCATGGATCACAGCCCTAACGAGCGACAGGCGTCAATGCGCAGAACGGACTCGACCCATCAACTACCAAATTGTAAAGGGGGTTAATCCAATCACGAGATGCAGGAAGAAGTGACACGGAAGCTTTCGTATTGCCACACGCTCGGCTTTGCAGCTATTCATTTTTCCTTGCATTAGCACCAAGCCGATTCGTAACTTTCAGGGGACGATGTCATGTGGAGATCTGCCAATACTCGGGGTTTGGCGTCGACAATATGGTTCCCGTATTATCAGTATATTTATCTCACCAAGACCCTGCCCCTGATCGAATGGTCCCGGAATTCTTATCCATCGGCAAGCTGCGTTTACCTTTGTTTAAGGGGGGTGTTCTCTCGTTTCTATTAATTACCACCGTGAGCCGATTGTTGAGCGAGGTCCATTGTGTTCTTTGTGCTTTGTACTTGCAAACTACATCGAAAACGCGCAGTGAAGCCCCAGCCCGATCTTGTGCATTCAATTTTCATACCCCATACTATCTCACAATATGGATATGAATCGTGGATATCAATTTGGCGGAGAGGTGTTGGAGCGAAGACACTCTGATACGTGTATCCCGCAGCAACCGCCGATTAATATGGTAATAACACTTCCCAATTGCAAAACAGATCGCAACAAGTGTCAAGTTTGGCTAATGACCAAATAGTCAATCGCTTCTAAACAACCTCATAACGCCGAATACACACACCCGCACTTTGCCATGATATACCTCGACCATAATGGTCAATGGCAACTGCAAGCCTCGCCTTCGATTGCAGGCTGTGAAGGCGCCATCTTCACACCAGATGTTACAGACCGATTCATAGAAATGACTGGCCAGACCCCACAGACCAGCCAGCAGTTTACAAGTGAGTCAAGTTTCTAGAGTCTAAGTCCCAGAGCGGTAAGACTGACTTCTCTATCCCCTTGCAGACTCAGTCCAAGCACCCCACTCTCCTTGGGACGAGCAACCATCTTCGGGATGGGGACCAACCGGACAGGCTAGACAGGCCGAGATGATACCGTTCCAATGGTCGTCACAACAAAGCCGAAAGAAGTCCAAGCGTACCGGTGGCATGCTCAAGTCTCGACCTAAATCTAGCTCACCACCACCTACCACACCTCCACCCGGACGAACTGTCCTTCGTGTCGGTAACCGGGCGCTACTGCGACGGTACTACGAGAAGGCATTCGAGGACTTCCAGCAACTCAACTGCCGCGCTATTGCGAAATCATATATCAAGCTTGTTGAGCCGAGGAAGCAGGTCCATTATCCGTACAATGGACGCAGAGTCATTGCCGGTGTCTCACAGCGTGTTGACCCGGAGTTCACCAAGCCTGCGTGGTGGCCCGCTGGTGTCTTACACAAGGAGCCTGATCATCTACTCAAGCCTGGTGAGCATATTCAGTATCGCTGATATGAGACAATGCTCTATACTAACTGACGATAGACCGACTGCGACTTCTTGTTCATATACTTTGTGAGCTAAAGGATAGCCACGGGGTTACAACAGACAAGCTGCGAGACGCTGGCCAAGACGTGAGACGCCAGATTACACCGGCCCACCGGCTGCAGGTCCTAGACGAGATCTACTTTGTGCGACAGATGGAAGAACAGTTCCTGGATGGTGAAATCGGTATGTGTCACTCTATCCTAACGAAATATCCAATCAGCATTTTCACTAACCATGTCTGTATTTTGTTGACTATAGACGCCAGCACCTTGATTCAGGTAACACAAACGCATCTACCAGAAGCAATCTTCCAAGACAGCGATGAGCTATCACGTGCACACGCAGCACCGGTAACATCTATGATCGAAGCTGAAAATGACATGCGCGGTGCAGGTGATGAGCCCGCTATCTCCACGCTGGAAGAAGATGACTCAAAGCTACACCACTCACATGGGTTGCCCCTCTCACCCACCACTAGCGAGTCAAGTGGTCCCCACAGCCCGGCAGGCAGTTATGGCTACCCGATGGGTATGGCACCATCAGTGCATGTAATCCCCCCTCTTGAATCGTCGAATATCACAAAACCTATGCATCCAGCCCCGAGTTATCACCCTGGATACTACTCGCAGCAGTTTGTGTCTGATAAAGGGCCCGGGTTCTGGTCACAAGCAAACCCTGCATCGCAGTTTGGATATTGATTTTGTTATACTTTATCCTCTTGTTTTCACCAGTACTGACCTGGAGTTTGAGCGTTTGGCTGGACACGGGATATGGGGTTTCGTTGGTTACTTTCTTTTTCTATACTATATTTTGTCCTGGGATAGTTTGGTTACCTCACACTTTCGTATACGAGAAGTCAGGGAGAATGTGCAAAAAATTAATGGAGACAGATATGGTAAAGCACTGAGAACTGCACCAGTAGAACTATAAGATTTGTTGCCTCAGGCGGAATATTATGCCTAGGCCAAGACAAGCTCCCTGATTGGATCCACATGATGATCCCCCAGCTCCGTCCAACCACCTCCCACATCACAAGCACACGTTAATTTCTCAACTTCTCGCTGGCTCTTGTCCAAGTATCTCCTCTCAACCTTTGTGACTGCACCAAACCAGTTCTACATTGTCGTTTGTGTCATGCGCCAGTGAGGCCGGGGTTTACTTTGTGGATCACCAACCACAGTTCGCCATCCTCGCCTTGTGAATCCAAAGGCGTGATCTACTGAGGTAAGGTTGTCGTCTCTTAAATTGCCCCTCATCTCTATACTATATGCTTGTGTGTTCTAAGCCAGGACTGTTTGGCACATATCTACTAAGCTGTGCTCTTTGGCCTTGTTACAACTATGGGGATGCTAACATTCAATCGTTTCCTCAGTCGACCATATCCCAATACTCGGGACGGACCGACGATACTCTCTTTTCAGCAAAAGTTTTTGATGGAAAGTACCAGCTCGAGAAGCAAGTCTGATTCCACCATGTCAGCCGAGCCGCTGGTCTCTACGCCAGGCCTGGACGAGATCGATGCGCCGTTCCCTTTAGACGACTTTGCCGACAACGATGAATTCGGTTCTGCTCCCACCTCCCCGGGAAATCTGTCGCGCAACGGTTCATTCTCCAATAGCAACTCATACCAGGAGGACTGGGAGTCATTCCCACCGCTAGACAAGCTGACTATTTTCGACCTTCTCGACAACATTCAGCTCTCGCAGCGCTTGGAAAAGTGGCAGCAGACCATCGCCATGCAAAAAGACAAAGTGCGCAAGCAACGGGAGAAGCTAAAGTCGTCTTCCTTGAACGCTAAGGATCGTGTTGTGGGTGAATGGAGGCGCCGGGCACCGACAGCTGATGAGAAGCTGGAAAAATACCGTTCTCGGATGAAGCAAGGTGTAGAACGCCTGGGCAAGCAGTGGAGCAAGACGGCGACAGTCACCCTCCGGGAGAAGGTATCTTTTATTGCTGGTGTGCTTAATATCTTCATCAGCGGTTACCTGATTGGTGCTTGTCCAGAGTACTTTTACATCTGGTTCAGCGCCCAGCTGGCATATTTCATGCCTATTCGCTACTTCACATACCACGCCAAGGGCTACCACTACTTCTTGGCTGATCTCTGCTACTTTGTCAATATGCTCTGCATGCTGAGCATCTGGGTCTTCCCTAACTCGAAGCGGCTTTTTATTAGCACCTTCTGCTTGACATTTGGAAACAATGCGGCTGCAATCGCCATGTGGCGCAACTCTATGGTCTTCCACAGTATGGACAAGGTTACAAGGTACGTTAGATATCGAAAGGAACAATGTTCATCTGCTCATCGTGTCTCTGCAGTCTCTTCATCCATATTATGCCACCCGTGACTTTGCATTGCATCATACACCTGACTCCGGTTGAGAAACTCAAGGAACGCTTCCCTGCGGTCTACAGCATCAAGTTCAGTCAGCCCGGGGACCCAGAGCATTATGGTCTTGGTGCCATGATAATCTGGTCCACGGCCCCTTATTTGGTGTGGCAGCTCATGTACCACTTCCTGATCACCGTGCGACGCCGCGATAAGATTGCAGCGGGTCGCCCAACCAGCTTCACCTGGCTGCGCAAGTCGTACTCCAAGGCGTGGATTGGGCGATTTGTGCTGAGTCTGCCCGAGGCGCTGCAAGAGCCTTGCTTCATGTGTATCCAATACGCATTTGCTTTGTCAACAATGATCCCCTGTCCGATTTGGTTTTGGTCCAAATGGGCCAGTGGTATGTTCATGTCTGCGCTATTTATCTGGAGCATCCACAATGGAGCAACTTACTACATCGATGTCTTTGGAAAGCGCTTCGAAAAGGAGCTGGAGCAGCTCAAGTCAGATGTTGCACGTTGGCAGAGCTCCCCCGAAGGAGCAACTAGTCCATCCCTTGTCGCTGAGCCCAGTCCTCTTAGTGAAGCCATAAATGAAAACAGCGAGCAGAAGCGATCCAGCATTGATCGAATCCCGTTGTTGGATACTGCCGACGCTTCTTCTACTAATATCGCGGCGCAAAATTCAAACAAGGACTCTGTTCTGAGGGAGCGAATTTGAACTTCAAGTGGCATGCTCTCTTGTTGCCATCGTCTATGCAGTCTTTATATACCCTGGTTGTTGGTCTTTTTTTGTGTGTCAAGTTTCGAGAACCTTCATTCTGAGCGAGTTTTCCCTATTTTTCCTTATAGTCATATGAATGTAGAAATTCACTGTTCAGATTGATAAGAATCCTAAATTATTGCCAGAATGAAACATCTCTAGAACTGTTCGGACATCTGTTTAACCCCGAGCAAAACCCGAGGCGGTATCCGGTCGTCACGTGCAAAATGACTGCGGCAGTACATCACACCTGGGCACAACATCTCATCGGAACCGGTTCCAGGACATTCCAAAACTTTTGTGACCATTTATTACTGTGACTTTTTTTTTGTTTCATCCTGTGGACATTAAGATCGATTATTTATTTCATTGTTGCGCTTACACACTCCTTGCTCGTCGTTTTGAGCAATTACTTTTTCGCCTCATATTTCCGCAAATGTCCGCTACAATGAGATCGACCGGATTGGTCCGCGGAACACCTGCTTTCCGGTCTGCGCTAATCAGTGAGTATTAGAGAACTTCAGAAACTAGATCTCAATGGCAGTTGCTGACATACTTCTCCTGGACAGACCGTAGTCGTTGCAATGCACTGAGCCCGGCCTCCGTTGCAGCCCGCGGCCTGCTTCAAAATGGCCGCAACCTGCCATCCCAAGTGTCGGCGCTCGCCATTCTGATCCCACAGCGTGGATATGCGACCGAGCAATCCACATCGAACAACTCTTCTCAGAACTACCCTCCCCCCGGGTTCAATGCTGAGCAAGCCAAGAAGCCGATCTCGCAAGACCAGACCACGCAGTCACAATCTACAGCGGGAAAGACCCAGCCCACCGAGACACAACCAGCCGCTAGCAAGTCATCGGCTGGAGTTGTTTCAAAGACGAACCCGGAGGACCAGAAGTTGGCCGAGAAGAAGAGCGCGAAAAAGTTGACACTTGGACAAAAGGTCAAGAAAGAGTTGCAGCACTACTGGGATGGCACAAAGCTGCTTGCCACCGAGGTCAAAATCAGTTCAAGACTCGCGTTGAAGATGGCTGGTGGCTACGAGCTCAGTCGCCGTGAGCACCGCCAGGTATGTTTGCGCCACCAGGCACATTTCGATAATTTGTACTATTTGGCTAACCTAGGATTGTTTATAGCTCCAACGTACTACGAAGGATCTTGGACGCTTGGTACCGTTTTCGATGTTCCTCATCGTTCCTTTTGCCGAACTCCTGCTCCCCGTTGCCCTGAAGATCTTCCCCAACATGCTTCCCAGCACCTACGAGGGACAGAAGGCCCGCGACACCAAGGCCTTGAACCTCAGTTCAACCCGCAAGGAAGTTTCTGGATTCTTGCGCAACACTCTGCGGGAGACCGGTCTACCCTTCACTGCTTCCACGGTGAAGAACGAAGAATTCACCGACTTTTTCCGTAAAATTCGCACCACCGGTGAAACTCCTTCAACAGAGGATATCATCAAGGTTTGCAAAATCTTCAAGGATGACCTGACCCTTGACAACCTGTCCCGACCCCAGTTGGTGGGCATCTGCCGCTACATGAACCTGAACTCCTTTGGTACCGACGCCATGCTCCGATACACCATCCGACACCGCATGCGCCAGATCAAGCGTGATGACCGCGCGATCTTCTATGAGGGTGTCGATTCGCTCTCCGTCCCGGAACTTCAGATGGCCAGCGCCTCGCGTGGAATCCGCACTCACGGGGTCTCCCCCGCGCGCCTGCGCGAAGATCTCGGCATGTGGCTCGAGCTGCGGCTCAAGCAGGGCGTTCCCTCAACTCTGTTGGTTTTGAGCAACGCCTACCTGTACACGCAGGGTGGCAAGGAATCCGAGATGGCTTCGCAAATCGATGCGCTCAAGTCTGTGCTTTCCAGTATTCCCGAGGAGTTGTTCCACGAGATCGAGCTTGAGGTCCACAATGCTGAGGGTGCTGCTACCAACAAGCAGCGTCTTGAGGTTATCAAGGAGCAGGAGGAGCTGATCGAGGAGGAAAGCAAGCAGAACAGCGAGAATGAAGGCAAGGGTGTTTCGGCGCCTAAGGATATCGATGATATTGATGAGAAAGAGGAGGCCAAGATTGAGGCTACAAGTGACGGTGCTAAGCAGACTGCTGAGGCTAATGAGGCCATGGCGGAAGGTGAGCGCGCCGAGAAGATCCCCGAGTCCAAGGACACGAAGAAGAGCGAAAGCTTGTAGTATAGTATGAATATGGTTTGTATTTCAATTATGTTTTTAGTTTGGGTTACACTTGTCATATAGATGGTTTTTTGTTTTTGTTGGCTTTCACTTGGTGTATTCCCTCCCCCCTTTCAGTTCTCATCCTGTCTTATTTATTGCTATGTTGATAGACCATTTGATCCCCACCTCTCATATTCTATGTGATGTATACTTTATTCCCTTTGGATTATACATTGAATACTTCAAGTGGGATAACTGTAAAGTGCGAAGACAAAGCCCTGGAGGACTCCGGTTATATCATTAGTCACCGACATTACCTCGGTTACCCCAACCCCCATCTTTATAGTTGCCTTGTGTACAGAGAGTTAAGTAACTAGAAGTTAACAACTTCTAACATGAGGAGACAACAGCTTAACCTCTTTAAGACACTTCGATTTACCTATCAAAATTGGCCCAAATTATTCAGTTCCAACACTAAATCAAAACGAACTTCCATTATGGCCCCCCTGAATCCCGCATCTCAGGTATGTGTAACTCGTTCTCTGCAGTTATCCGAAATGACCGCGTGTCCCTGGATGAATCTGCTGTGTCCATTTTGCCATGCATATTATCCCTACCATACCCCTGCTTCCCCCCTTTTAGGCCACACAGGTCTTAAATTGCCATGTTTCTTTTTTTTTTTTTCTGGACGATCATACCTGGGTATTCAAGAGAAGCCATTTGAGTTTCGGCTTTGAGGACATGGAGTTGAAACATTTTGGTTTGAAGAGAGATGGAATATTCTTTTGATTCGTATCTTCACGGGTCAATGTTTCTAACCGAGACCTCCTTTTTTTTTCCCCGTGGATGTCCATCCCGAAAGCCAACCCCAGGGAGAGAGAAACTAATTTGTGATGTATCTATAGGAAGCAATCAGAAGACTCCGAAACTATGTTCCCCCGCCAACGACCTACAACTTGGTCCCACTGAGCAGACAGGCGGCTGTGCTAATACTGCTCTTCGCCGATGCCAAGGGTGACCTTAAGGTTGTTGTTACGATCCGGGCTAAGACACTAAGTTCGTGTGAGTCTAAATACGTGGATCAGCCCTGTTTTCAGCATTTTCGGACTAATCTTGTTCGGGTATAGATGCAGGAGATGCTGCTTTACCTGGAGGTAGGTTGAGGAAAAGAAAGGGGTCAAGTTGCCTTAATTAAGATGCCTCAAAAAAAAAGGATCAAATAATATATATATATATATAAAAGAAATACTAATTTCTTTTTAGGTCGAGCAGACAAGACAGAGACAGCCTTTCAAACGGCGCGCCGCGAGGCAAGCGAGGAGATCGGCCTCCCCGACATAAACCAAAAGCTTCCAACCCCATTCAGTGTGGAGCATCTCTGTGAGCTCCCGGCAAATCTAGCTAGAACGGAAGTAGTTGTGCGTCCCTGCGTTGCTCTTCTCCATAGCTATGATCCCCGCTTGGGGCTGAATGCCGATCCTGAGTTGTCACTTATTCCTATTTTGGATGCAAAAGAGGTAGAGGCTGTTTTTACTGCACCATTCAAGGACTTTTTGAGTGAAAATGTATATGATGGTTGGTATCAAGGATCTTGGGGAATGTGGCATAATTCACAATGGAGAAGTAAGTTTCTTTTTCTTTTCTTTTCTTATAACTCGGGCTTTTTTTTTTTTCTTTGTTCCCAAAAGGGGAAAATGGGGCTACAGGGTAATTATATTTTTATACTCCATACTAACAACAACTAGTGCACCAATTCTTTGTTCAACAAAATGGACAGGGCTATCGTATCTTTGGAATGACAGCAAGAATTATTGTTGATGCAGCTCGTGTGGCATATGGACAGGAACCCGAATTTGAACATAACAGTCATTTTGGGGATGAAGAGATGATTGCCAAATTGTGTCAATCAGGTCGATTTCAAGAAAAGCCCAAACTTAGTTAAGAGAATGGGTAATTTATATATAAATCTGTCCAATCATATAAAGCAAGGGTGTCTATCCTTGCATGGTTTGTTTGATGATTGTATATATATGGAAATTACCGTATATTATTATATACTTTCCTCCTTACTGATATTCTATTTAATATAGTCCTTTGTCCCCAGTTTCTTCCTTTGTAACACTTATTGTTCGAATTCTCAATCGAAATGCCTACCTTATCCTATCGAATGGCACCCCCCGTCCGACCATCTCGTTCCCTTGAGGGACTCGAGAGAGTAATTCCACCACCTTTCTCTGCTTCCGATCTCTTTCTCAATAAACCTCTCCCCGCAAAACCCTTCGAACCAGAATGTTCGGCTATGTGGAGTGACTCCAGTGATAGTGAAAGTACACTCAGCACCAGATCAAGTGAACGCAATTCAGCAGATAGTTATCCCATCTTCGTCAGTTCTGACTCTGACTTTGATGATTTGGTCGATCATCCGACTCCTTCGGCCGATCAATTTTTGGAATCCCCTCAAAAACGTACGGACTCTATCGCTATCAATATCCAAACTGTTGAACCCTCAGTTTCATCTTCGTTTTCTGAGACACAGTACGAACGTCCAAATTGGACTCCAAGTCGTACAGGCACAAATCACTATTTCCGCGAAAAGAAGTGGGATTATTTTCCCGAATTGGCTCCTTCGGCTCTGCGGGCCAGTGGCCGCATAAGCCCAAATATGACACAGCACAAACCCCGCAAAATAGGAAACCCACTGGAGTTTGCCAAGGGAAAGTGCCGATGGCATTCCCTTGACCGCGGTGGTCTCGGCGGAGTTCGTGACTCGATTAAGACTTACGTCCACCGCACTCTCTCGCGCGACTCGACAGATGATAAGCCGAAAGAAATTCCCCGCCCAGCAACAGCTCCCATAGACCGCCATCTCAATGATGTGGGAGGTACACTCTCCAGTACAGCCCCAGCACCATATCAATCTTCCTTGGCCGTCAACACCAACATCGCTGCGCGAGGTACCTCCGTGGCTACATCCTCGAGCAGCGAGTATGACTATACCAACCACAAATTCTATCTTCAAACACCAATCTCACCAACTTCTCCTACTTCACTCTCATCCCCCATAACACCCCGCTCGAAACAACTAGCGGTTCCGCTATCTGAGTACCAGAAACATGGCCCTGTGATCTGGGAATCGCCCAAATCCAAGAAGCGAAATGTTCAGTTCCCGAGATATAAGTTTTCGACCGGCTCGACTGGAGGACCGTCTTCATCTTCGGCTCCTGACTTATCTCATACAAACTCCATGCGCACTTTGTCGCGAAAGCAATCCCTAAACAATACCCGAGGGGTGTTTCTAGGTGCGAAGAAAAGGATTGCCGAGTCAAAGGATGATCGCAGAAGGGAGCAGTTGAAGGCTCAAATCAAGTTCGTTGGGCCTGTCAACCCGCATACTTGCACACAGGTCAATCTATGGGTCTGATGTTTAATTCTCTTCTTTGCATTTCAGCACTCACAACGCATCTCACGAAATCTCATGACAACATATCATATCTATACCTATACCCTATCCTTCACAATTTTGTTCTTGTCTTGGCTTCAACTGTATCATTCTTTCTTTAATTGCCTGTCTTCAATGTTCCTCCACTCTCCCTAGCCAATTTCCCTTCTACCAGGGTATTCATATCCCACTAAGCTCTCGTTATATATACTCTTTTGTTCTATTTCTTTATATATCTTGACTTGTTAGGTTGAACCTTTGTCAATATTATAGACTCTTAGTATTTTCTATTTCGGGCAATATCTCTCACTCAACATGGATAGCTTAGGCCGCCTCTTGACTAAAAATCAGTCAGATTTTTAATATGAATCATATCAATTGGGTTCAATGGACAACAATGCAAGCTTGATCATAACCTGAATTTTGGCAGGTCGCAATTAACTTTATCTGCATAACACCTATATTAGACCATCTTATACATACATACTATGCTTGGTTTCTTACATGTATGCACATACGCACAGATGCAGACGCGGATGCAATCCGAAATGGCCAACGTGGATCGCCACTGTCAGGCAATCATTCCGGTCTTATTTGATACACGCCCGCCTTTAGAGTAGAATGTTAAGTCCACTCCGGCTTAATCGTCCACATCTCACCATTAAACTTGTATATCCCAATTGGTGATTGTAGGGGCAAGGATCTTTATATTGCAGACACGTCTGATAATTCTATGTGAGGGGTAAACCTGAGACATGAGTTCTCTACTCCGTACTTAGTGACTCGATTCTAGTGTAACAGTGAATCGACATGAAAGCATTTTCCGAGTGCGTGTAACCCTTTCCTCGTGTCAACAAACAGCTCTCTTTAGAACTGGCGGTGTCAAACCTCAATGGACAGTTAGTTGATGGTTCCTGGAGCATTGCTGTACAGGACAACTATTACTTTAGAGTCTTCCTTGGCTTTAGACTACACCCTCAATTGGGTGATACTTGTCACCGACATTTCGGAGGTGCTGTACTTCGCTCCATGTGGACGCGCTGTGTCCTGCATCACTAGTGAGCTGTCATCGGCTCGGTGATGGGTCATAATTCTATGAAGATCTAGATCTGGGGTCTGGATATGTTTGCTTAGCATAGTACGGGGTATGGAACCTTCAATTTATATTGTCTCATAACGTATGTTGTATGTGGGTATACTTGGAAGGATGTCTTATCGAAGTTGGGCTTTTCACAGTCATTTGTGGTTTAGGGTTAATGAGTTCACTCTCCAGGGCTTCCGCCATCCATGATACTGCATATAGTCGGCAACTTATGCAGCCTCGTGTAATCTTTTTATAGGCATTTTCTCTTATGTAAACAGCGGAAACAGGCATAACATGTGCGGACGACTTTTCAATATGCAATCAGGGAAATGTATAATTGTGCCAGAGAAAGTCACATCAGAAATGCACCAAAAAGGACTAAGATGATCTCGAGTAACTACTCCATATGTCATCTTCTGATATCATCTTAGGTTGGCCTCTTTATTAGTCTTATATCTCAAGGAAGAGGCCATATAAGCTCATCGGTGATGAACAAAAGACCGAAGGTTACCAAATTTGTCGTTATACGCGCGAGCCCCTTCGACAATATGATCCTTTCTCACATATAAACTGATACATACGACCATAGGGTGTGGAAAACAGGGCTTCCCGTCCGCTCAGCCGTACTTAAGCCACACGCCGGTGAGTTAGTAGTTGGGTGGGTGACCACCAGCGAATCCTCACTGTTGTATGTTTTTGTTTTTTTATCTATAGTCTTTGTTGATAAATTTTGGTGGTTGGTGGGGGATGGTTGGTGGTTTGGTGGATGGTTCCCAGGATGGCAGGTGCTGACTGTCGGGGCACTATAGTTTTAGCTATGTACCATAACGTCGACTAGTCTATATATTGAGAACCGTCTCGAATTTAACTCCTAACAAACAAGTTTCCAAGGTTTTCTAGATAGCACACTTTGCGTGTAAATAGAACTATGGCCTGTCGTATGCGCGTTTTCTCAGCCAAGAATTGTTCTCATTACATACATCCGAATTGAGTATTTCATGATCACTCATTTGCCTTTGCTAGCTTCTGCCTGGTCCAGGAACTCCTCAACGGTAGTGGCATGCAATCCTTGGAGAACTCCAGTTTCCCATTCCAGAGCTTTCTCCTTGGGGTTGTGATTGGCATTTGTAAATCCAAGAACCCTTAATTGGTGGTAGGCAACCCCAGGGTCATTCGCCTTGAGACCTTCGAAAATGTCGCCAAGGACCTCAGAAAAGGTCACTTGGTTAGATCTCCAGGCAGGGTCGCGTGCTTTAATTGATTGGAAAAGCTCTCGGTAGGTCAAAGTCTGCCCAGCCAGGAGAGTGATTGGTGGTAAATCGGCACCGGTGTTGATGCTGTTCCGTAACAAAGCTAGCACTGCCCGTGCTGCGTCTGTGGTAGATGTCAAAGTGACCTTTTGCAAGCCATCGGCATACATGTCGAAAACCTTAGTGCTATGGTTCATCGCCCATGCGGGGCCGATCTCGCGAAGTGGGTTCTTCTCTTTGGGCAGGAGGTATTCCATAAACCAGCCGTGGCAGATCATAGTCCACTTGACGCCATGCTGTGAGCGTAGCTTCTTGCGAACAACCTCGTGCGTTGGGGCACTAAACATCGGCTGATCCGGGAAATCGTCCAAGTTGACGTTCCATTCGGACGGGATGAAGTGTTTACACCTGCGCGATTGGCTGCATGCCTCGAGGATATTGGAGTGTGCGTAAATATAAAACTCGTTAGGGCCGGCGAGGGTCGAGATAACCGCGTCGCAATCATCAAGCTTCGTTGTCAAATCGTCAACGGAGTAATTGGTGAGACGGATCTCAGCTCCCAAGTGTTCGAAATTCGGTTTAGAAGTACTGGTGAGAACAACAACTTCGTCATCCGACTTGCAGAATTCGGTGGCCAGGCAAAGGGCAACTTGGCCAGCACCAGCGAGAGCAACCTTCATGGTTTTCGAGATTGATGTGAGTTAAGATTTGAAGACAAGTGATGTTAATCCAGGTCAACTAGAGAAACTTGGGAGAAAGGGAGATTCTATTCAACTTTATATGAGTTTTCATCATTATTAATACATTGGCATGTTGACTTCCACGCTCTAGTTGTAGCAGTGGATTCCATATCTCGCGATGTCGCCGAAAGAGGAAATCCAGGTGGACCACATACTTGGCTTAGTAGCCAATTAATTTGAAGTTAGTAAAACTAACTTTTTAGTTCTCCAACACTTTAAAATCCAATCCTATTTCGACGAAGAAACTATACGGAAGATCAACAGTTCAATCGGATGAGAATATGTCCTTTGTCGGACTACGTTTCAAGCAAGTTATAGTTAGCTCCGAACACGCGAGCACACAACAGGAAGAACCTTTAGCGCCACGGCGGAACAAGAGCAAATTTGGCTGTCGAGAATGCAAGGCAAGGCGGGTTAAATGCGATGAAGCATATCCGACATGCAAGCGGTGCTAGCGTCAAGGCATTGTCTGTTCGTCAGCCCCACGATTGACCCAGTGGCAGGTTGAGACACCGTGGCTCCCGCTGCAAGCCAACACTTTCGTCAATCGAAGACTACTGCAATATTGGCTCGAAAAGGTCAGCCAAACACTGGTAATAGATCCTGAAAATAATCCTTTTTCATTTCCCGTTCTGGAATATATTGCTCAGTCATCCGCACTTCTCCATGCTATCCAGTCCGTCAGTGCCAGCCACGAGCAGTCTTTCCCTGCCAACACCCCTATTGCTGCCCTTGAGGAACGTGGCAAGGCCATAGCCTGCCTTCGGAGAGAGATACAACAAGGCTATCATTCGCCTAATGCATTCTTTCTGACTATTATGTTACTGGGTCTGGCGCAAAGTGCTGATTCGGACACCAAAGATTATGGCAAGCAGCATTTATTTGCTGCCCGCGCCCTGATCAGCAGTATGCTCCAAGACACATCTAAGTCGATGAATACTGACCATGCGGTCTGGCTCTGCCTGGGAATGTATCTTTACTGGGACATGTGCAGTTCGTTCCTGGTAGACCCATGTGAGCCACAGGGGCTCAACTTATTGAACATATCCAATGCAGTGCATATGATGGGAGACTGGCATCATCCGATGTACGGAACATGTAGCGGACTGCTCTTTATCATAGCAAATGTTGGACGATACTGCCGACAGATCGTTGACTCGCCACAGAACCGCAACCTCATGCAAGAAGCTGTGTTGGTGGCCCAACTTACTACCTGGAAGACAATTCCCGCGAATCCCGGCCTGTACCACTTATACGAAGCGTTCCGCAAACACGGGCTTATTTTCCTTTACCGGGCCCTCGCGCAGGCACAAAGTGGTCGCTTCATGGATCCAGATATGGTTGAAGCGCGAGAGTCTCTGATCCAACAATACGCCGAAGAAACAGTTCGCCATTTGATGCAAATCCCTGCAACCTCATACTACCTTAATTTCCAATCTCTCCCTCTTCTCACAGCTGGGTCGGAATTGTCAGAATTGGATCAATATCTGCGCGATCAAGTGCGCGACAGGTTTCGAGCCATATACTCTTTGAATAGACTTCCTGCAAATCTGCTGGCCCTAAGACTTCTTGAAGAGTTATGGGATGCCCGAGACAGCGGTAACCCATCATTCTGGCTACCGCATGCACTGCAGAAGGATTGGCAGTTACTTTTAGGATGAAGCTTTGTTTTGTAAGACAGGCTAGGGACCTCGTTTGAAGCATTCCACGAGAGTTCTGGCACTTTAAGCCGTTCTAGCACCTGGGGATTGTTGAGTCTCCTGTCTTCAATTTGGTAACCCGTCCAATTGCTACATTCGGAGAGAGCTGGGTTACCAATGACCGGGTATCTCTCAAGTTTTAATATGGAAGTGTTAAGAATTTAGGTACCTTTTGTATGTAATTACAATATAAAAGATACTTTCAGTTGCTGGTGACTATCCGGTGGGGGTCAACCGGCTTTGGAGATCAAATGCCAAGAAAGATAAATCCCCCGCGATCCACCGGGAGATTCGCTTCTGGTCTGCAATTGCTCCGATCTTGCTTCTAGTCACTTATTCCCTTGCCTTTGTCTGTCTGCAAATTCATATACAATGGCACCAGGGTCCTTGCAAGAAGCGCGTTACCTGACCGGCGATAAGGCTGGTCTCCGCGAGTTCCTAGCCAAGTTTGATGTAAGCTACACCTTTTTGATCGCATTGATGTACTAGCGTTCGATTTACTGATTACATTACATACAGGTATTCCTCTTCGACTGTGATGGTCTGTCCCCCGTGCTCGTTCTTCCTCGGCTTTCCCCCGCAGAGGTCCCCCGCATCGACTTATCCCGCGTCGCAACATCCGCTGAGACAATGATGATTTAGGCGTTTTGTGGTCCGGTGACCACCTCTTTCCCGGAACCGTCGAGACACTAGAGCTTCTCCGAAATAATGGTGCGCATTTAATATCAAGTCGACAAAAAAAGCAGAGGTTGACAATCCCTCAGGAAAGCAAGTGGTCTTCGTGACGAATAACAGCACCAAGTCGCGCGCAGACTACCGCAAGAAACTCGAAGGCTTGGGAATTCCCAGTACAGTGGTTAGTGATATCACCAATCACCATGCTCATCCAGTGTCTAGCGACTCACAATCCAATAGGAAGAGATCTTCTCCTCCTCATACAGTTCCGCTATATACATTTCTCGTATTCTCCAACTCCCCGAAAACAAGCGCAAAGTCTACGTGATTGGCGAGACAGGCATTGAACAAGAACTCCGCTCCGAGAATGTTTCATTCATTGGTGGTACAGATCCCGCATACCGCCGCGACGTCACACCCGAGGACTACAAGAGAATTGCAGCGGGCGATGAATCAATGCTCGACCCCGAAGTTGGTGTCGTGCTCGTCGGTCTTGATTTCCACATGAATTACCTTAAGATCGCGCTGGCATACCACTACATCAAGCGTGGAGCGGTATTCCTCGCTACCAACATCGACTCCACCCTGCCCAACTCTGGGACTCTGTTCCCTGGCGCTGGTTCTATGAGCGCGCCGTTGATAATGATGCTGAATAAGGAACCTGTCGCACTCGGAAAACCCAGTCAAGCTATGATGGATTCCATCGAGGGTAAGTTCCATTTCGATCGTAGCCGGGCATGCATGGTTGGTGATCGTACGAATACGGATATTCGATTTGGACTTGAGGGGAAACTCGGTGGTACACTGGGTGTTTTGACTGGTGTCTCTTCTAAGGAGGAATTTGTTTCTGGCGATGTTAGGCCTCATGCCTACTTGGATAAGCTTTCTGACCTGCTGGAATCGGAATAGAGTCTGAGAAAGATGTGTAGATGGATTTAGAGATAAACGTATATGACTAGCACATTGAATTGTTTCTGGTTTGTCTCTGAATATTACTTTCCCCATTGAGATATCAGAGATGGAATCAATCTATGAAGGGAAGGTGTGAAGTGTTCATTTTAGGAAGGTACCTGGGAGTATAACCCCCCCCCTTCGTCCGTCTCTTTTCCCCTTCTCTTCTTCCTCTTGTCAGATCACAACATCAGAACAACCCGTTTGCTGGTGGTATGGCAACACCCGAGGAAATGCGGGCATTCATGTTCTTTTTGGAAAGTCATTGGACTATAAAATCTCTCAGAATTTCGTCAACACAACATTCGAACAGCATAATTTCCCGCAGCTACAAACCCACCCCAATTCTAACATTTATTCACATGATATTATGAGCAGCTCCTCTTTGCCGTACGATTATCTGCATTCATGCTACTTTGAGTCATTTGGCCAACTGGTCAGCCAACTGGTAAGCCAACTGGTGGGCTCTAGTCAACTGGTGGAGTTCACTCAACTGGTGGATTTCCAACAATTTCCAATTAACAACTTTGCAATCTTCAGCGAGATCTGCACACAAATTTCTATTCAATGTGAGGCAGCTTGCTTTCGAAGAGGTTACTCTTGCCCTATAAGAATTTATATTCGATATATTTATTTACACACTCAATGAAGGACTTTCAAGGTCAAAGCCATTCAATTCCAACCAAATATTGAAATTCGATCCAGCCACATACTCCAACGACTCGGGAGTCAAAGCCGAACTTTCATCCACTGTGTCCTCATCCCACATATTCTTCTCATCTTGACAGATAGATGAAGAGTATTCCATGTCCCCTTTATTTTTTCCATTTAATTGATTTTTGGCGTAATTAATATTTGCTGAATGAGCGCCAGATGACCGATGTGCTGAAAGAGAATTGTGCATAATGATGACTTCCGTCAAGATGTCTACAGCCTGAAGCAACTTTTCAGAGCATTTGGTGTGAAATTGTTCTGCATTGAGTCCATCAATGTCTCGATGGGGTCTTGAGGTGCTTTTCGTAGAGTGTTGCTCGAGTTGTTCCAAGACATTTGGCGGTAACATATCCATCCATAGCCCGACTTCATTGTTCATTTGTGAGCCTTCATCAGGACGTCTTTTTGAATTGACATGCAGAGAATCCAAGCTTTGAGGCTGGCTTTTCCTTTTCCGTGATACAGCCGTGCTAATTGACTGGACATCGTTGCGCTTAGGGTTTGATATTGTGGAGTGTTGTTCCACACCAGGCGACAGTATGCCATCTGTCCTATCTTCACCAGGAATATTTGGACTTCGGGGTGCCTTTTTCCTCCTTGGTGGCGGGGCGACACATTCCTTCATATCAAGTTTGCAATTGGTGCACGAGGTGCCTTGGTTTAGTGCATCGCAACGCACTTTTCGTTTGTGGCAGGCAAAACAAGCCCATTTGGCTCGCCTTGGCCGTTCCTTTTTGCCTGGTTGGAATTGTATTGGCTCCTTCCCGGAATACAAAGTAGGTTGCGAATGGTATTCAGTATCCATGTCTGATCTTTTGTCACTAGGTCTCCCTGTAACTCTTTGAATCAACTGGCTTTCATGTATTATTTATCTCCGCATATGAGCTTCCCGTTATTAGCGGATGTTCTTCGGTACTCGGTTGCCGACTACCGGGGTTGGTGTTTGATCCCTTGGAATCGCCGAAACGCCGAGGTATCGTCGACCTAACCATTCAAGAGTTTAGCTTCGCAACAAATTCGTAACTTAGACACTCTACAACCGGAATCCCTAGCCGGGGGGTGGGGGGGGGGGGGCTTAGAAACCAAGCCCCAAGAATGACAAAATCATCTTTGATATCCTCATTCATTATCAAATACGAAGCTCCATCAACTAAGGCATTCAATTTGGTCCAAGGTTCATTCTACAATTTGATAAAGCCAATGTCACTATTTATGCGCCTTGTAGGGTTTGATTGTTGTATCCTCGCCTCCTAAAACTCGAGCCTTCGATTGACCGGAAAAGAAACTCCTTTATAGAATGACTTACTGCATAGGAATGTCACCATCCCTATCGGGAAGAGCTCTAGCTAGAGAAGCGACGAGTATCCCCTATATCAATAGGTGAGCTGCAGTACAAAAGATTCTTCCGGAATCAGTACTCACGATGTCAATTTGTTCAAGAAGGCTCATTGGGCTAATATTGCGGTCCTTGAAGATATTGTGTCAGCAAAGAACAAAGTACTACAACTAGGAGGTATACAGTACGCGGCAAATTGCCTCGATGGCAGATCTCCAAAGGGCAAGTAGTGGACAGCTCCGCTGAAGGTGCCTGGGGTCGTGGCAGAGATAACAAGTCAAATTGGCGCTGCTCTATAACAATATCTCATTCGTCAGCTGTTGGTCAAGATGATCGAAAAACAAGATGAGAAGGCAGAAGGCATCAAATGCAGTGTAAATATCAAGTATACTCTCTAGGCCGTTGGCGATAATACAGTGTATGCACAATACAGGGTGAAGAGCACTTCTTCTGGAGTATGGCTTACCTGGTGTTGTATTTGAGGCTGGTATTGATGTCGGGAGTGGTATCTATCAGGACCAACTCCTTGGTTAGCTCTACCACGACGAGGGTCACTAGATCCATGGCGGTGTCTGCCAGCATATGTAGAATCCATATCAAGATGGAGAATATCATGTAGAATCTGCACAATATTTAAATTGAAGGAAGACTCTAAAACTCCAGGCTTTTGACGGGGAGAGATAGTAGAAAGGGAGAATTTTAAAGGCAAACTTTTGAAACAGTACTCAGCGATGAAGAGATGAGCTCGTGTAGGCTACTATAGTTCTCCACTACCTAGCCTTTTGTTTAATATTGCCTATATGTATATCTTGCTTTATTGCGAAAAATGAAAGAAAGAGAATATGGAGCACAAGGCCATCATCACTGTCTATATAGAGCAATTAACACGCTACTTTGCCAAAGTCTGCATTGTTATTGGCGTGAGATCGATCCCGAAGAGTCCCAAGTCTTCGGTCAAAATCACCGAATTACAGCTTGTCTGCTCGATATTGAGCAGCCAAACTCTAGAACTCTAGTTATGTGTATACATAAGTCATCCAAGCCGTTCAGAGTCATCGTGTAGCTCTGTCTAGTAGTTTGCGCAAAACAATTTGGAAGGGTATCATGATCATTCCATTCGAACAAAATCTAAACTATAGAAAATTTCCGAATATAACGCCTCAAACATACAGGCCGTCGGTGTCCTAAACGCCGTCTTTATTTTCAATCGAAGGATTCTGAGAGTCTCACTGTTGATCATGAGAGATTAAGCTTGAATGCCTCTCAATTTCCACGCAGGACTCCA